AAGTGGCAACATCGTCGGTAGTGTTTTTTTTTTCACCAGGAGCTGGTACCACTGGTTCGAGGGAGCTCCAATCACAACGCTTCATCGCTCTCTCTCAAGTTTAAATTGACCGCGCTACCCCCACCCGATCGTTACTTGAGACGTTGGTGTTTCGTTTGGGCTGCGTGCGCAGAAATTTCATTTTTCAGTACTTTTTTCGCTATTATTAATAAACAATGCTCCTAGGCGACAATCTTTTTCACTCAAAAAATCATTGATCACATGTTCTAAATGTGTCTAAAGTTTCATGACTTTGGCTGCTTTTTTCCCTTGGGTTTTGCAGTTTTTTTTGTGATTTCCATAAGATCACGGGTTAAATGCCCACTTTTTCAAAAATTCATAATAAATTGACCATGTTCCCCAGCAGTCTGAAACTTTACACACGCCTTTTCCATCATTTAAAGAATACGTAAAAAATAAAAGAGAAAAATGGCTGCTTCTTTTCTAACCCTCCGGGCTCGCCCGATTATCCTTAAGCTGAGACAATTGTTCGATGTATTATTCATGTATTTCCATGCACACTAGGGTGGCCCATTTTACGGGTATTCCTGAATATTTCCGATTTCGTCTCAAAAAATGAGTCTTCAGTTGATAAAATACCCCTGTGAATTTTTTCATATTTTTAAACTGCATTTTGATGGTTGCGCCGTGTGTTCAAAGTTTGACTGACATTTTTGACCTACTGGCGGTAGAGGTCATAAAACTTGGGTAGAAGTTAAATATCCTCAATGATACGCCCGTGTCAGGCAGTAAGTATGGCTCCGAGTGAGGGTTCAGGTGTGTTACCTAGGTAATTGTTTTTTTTTGTATTCTTTAGTCTTTGATTATGTATGAAATTAATTAAAATGTTTCGAAAAATAATGATATAAAATAGAGTTGAAGGAAATAAGCATAATTAACCTTTTGAGTTGAATAAACGCACCCAGGATTCCTTCGGGTTAAGTTAGGTTTGCCTAATGCCTTTTTTGTTACAAATGTAGTTGACACTTCTTTCAAATATATGGGAAATATAAAATTCTCAATATATCAAAAATAATCAAAGAATAAAAAATACAAAAAACCAAAGAAAAAGAAGTTATTAAAAACTTGATACATGAAATATTGAAGAACAATTTTTCTGGCCTAATGAATGGAATCCCCTCTCCCTGACATTATCGTGGATTTTCCTTGCCTCCTTCTGCCGCCTGAAGCGTATTACTGACGCACTACAGTCATCATACAAGGTTTTCCTCCTTTCTTATCGTTTTTTCATGAATGCATCATCCGAAAACATGAAAACTATATACAAAATTTTAGCTAAATTTTAAAGCAGCTCTACGATGCGAGTTCAGTCCCTTCCCAGCGCAGGTTAGTTCGGCAGGTCAAATTTTTTGCGTAGGCTCAATTTCTGTGTTTACGACCGTTGTAAAAGCACCGCATGAGCCGGACACCTGTCTTTACTGGAAATTTAGGAATTATCTTTCGCATTTTTTTCAGAATTCAATTGGTGGGGAAGAAAATTTTTTTCTTTGAATTATTGTCAGATAGTTCCATAATCTATCAACCGAATCGGGATGAAAAACGGCCAGATACCCAGCGTGCTAGAGGCGTCTAAAAATCACTGAATTGAGTAGAAATGAGGATTTTCATTTTGTTAAGTAATAAGTTTTCTGTTGAGACAAAAATTAATTCTGTTCTTAAACCTCCCTCTGAACGGTTCACGGTGGGGAAACACCGAGGGATGTAATAATTGAGTTTTTAAAAAAATATTGACACATTCGATCTCTACGATGCGGGTAAAAGTCCATAAGAAATAAAACTACACGGCACAACCTTGAAAAATGATTCAAAAATTTTGAAAAAATTCACATGTACTTTCCATGTCATTGGTTATCTTTATCAAACACGAAAATTATGGAATTCAATTTTTTTTACATATGAGCCATCCTAATGCACACCGTATCAAAATACCGCAGCATAATGAAAAAAACGATAAAATTGGAAATTCCTAACGATAAATTTCCAACTCGTCAGGAAACAAGTGTTTTTTATCTCTGAGTTTCGATACCTTTTGTTCTACCGCGAGGGGTCGTCAACCTCACTCCGACCTAAAATGAATCGAACAAAAACGCGGGGAAACGTCAAAAGGTACACACATCGCTCCTATGAGTCATGAGTTATGACACATCCGGTATCAACAGTACAGAAAAATTATTGAGTTTGCAGATGAACCAGGCGGAGTGGATCGATCATGAAAAGATTATTTGGTCACTGGAAAGTCTAGAAGGTATCAGAAAAACTCATATAAGGTTAAGTAAAGTATCGTAAGATACAAAGAAAATTACTGCGCAACACAATCAGACTTTGTCTTGCGCCCGATTAATTATGTTAGCACGATAATTCTTCACGGATTGTTGTCTCCGCGTAGTTTTCGAAGCTGCCCTCACATTCGTTAATAATCTAAGTGACGCGGCGTTTTCTTTTAGGAAAAAATTGAAAGGTACAGGAAGGTAGAGGAAATCTATCTACTAATTACAGACAATCACAAAGAATGCGTTCTTCAACTGATATGCAATATAGATGAGCGAATTCACCAATTCTATATACGAAAAATGACCTCAAAATTTTGAAAGTTTTTCTGTATTTTTTTATCGCAAAACATCATTCAAAAAGAAAAAATTGAGCGTAAACGGCGCCCCTCTAACTCAATTATTGACGGAAATATTGAAGATTGAAATTTTCTTTCTAAAAACTTTTTTTGCGAATTAATTTGTGCAAAAAATTTGACACTAAAATTAACAAAAAAAAATTGAACCCGTAGATTTTGTCGGAAATCTTGGCTTTTCGAAAAATTCGCTCTCTCTTAACGGACTATATCTCTGTAAAGAATGGAGATATGACGAAAAGATACAAAAACACATCTATGTATTTTTGATGGAAAAACAACTTTGATGCGAATTTTTTCTCCGTATCTTGAACAGTTTCCTTGGTAACTGTGATAAACAAAAACGTTATAGGTAATTTTCCTCATTGTAAAACACCAGATCGTTCATATCTCATTAACGGCTACGAGCAGAGGAAAATTTCAAAAAACAAACTAAATGTGAAATTTGATGGCGAACATTTTTCGTTTGCATTATTTTTTTTCTATCTCCATCGAATTTGCCGGTAAACGAATAGGAGCGCGGCGACACCTCGCGCAAGTGCTAACGCGCCACCAGCTTTACTCCCACCCCCATAACTCTTTATCTGTCATAGAGAAAAAAGTTATACTACAAGATATGTTTTTTTACATACCAAACATCTTTTGTTCGAAACTTTTTTCTCTATCTGGGACCGTTTTTTCAATATGATTGTTTAAACAATTAAATTGTTAATAACAAATGAAACGCCGAAATTTTTGAAAAAGTAACAGACAGATTCGATATCAGCGACAAAAAAACATGAATTCCACACATCAAAATTTTGGGACTCTCAACAGGATACTTGGTACAGCGTATGAACTATACAAGAAAGGTCTTTAACGAGAAATCAATATTTTGCTTCAATCCTGAGATATTGTAAAAAAATTAATTGATAACTGAATCTGGAGATGATTTTTCCATAAATATCTTTTTTTAATTATTATTAGCGCGAAATTAATATTTTCATACAGCCATAAAAATTTTTTAATAATAATGGTAATAATATCATAATAATAATAACAAAGTATAAATGAATATCTTTGAATATACGGCAGATGGAGAAAATTTTTATGGTAGTTTTTTGTCATTTTGCTCTACAAAAAATATTTATTCAAAAAATTCTCTATTCCCTTTAGATTTCGAGATATTTTTGAAAAACCATTTTTTTGGGAGGACAAAATTTTATTTTTCTCTGCATGTTGACCCTGCTTACCTGTAAGCTTGTGAGAGCACAAAAAAAAAGGTTTTTGTTAGGAAATTTTCTGAACTTTCGGATGAAAAAAAAAAAAAGGTGGGGAAGGACCCCAACGATCGTTTGAAATTTTCTTCTCGAGTTTTTCATGCCAAAATATATAGATGGATTCAATTTTTTTTGTTATTCTGATTAGCGCGTAATTAAAATTGAAAAAAAGTTTTAGAAACAAAAAAAATCAATCTTCAATATCTCCGTCAATAATTGAGTTAGAGTAATGACTGTTTGCGCTCATTCCTGATCCAAAACTGTACCATTTATCATAGTAATTCCATATGGGCTTCTCTGTTAAATGAGCCAATTGAATTTCTAGCACTGAGTTTTAGAAATTTAAGGAGAAAAACCAATCTCCTTAAATTCTGACCATAAGTTGTAAAATTCATAGAAAATTCTCTCCTAGACCTACGGTGATTTAGTTAAAAATTACAATTGATATGTAATGAGATTTACACGTTGAAGGTATGTGCCAGTATCGCGCCTCAGGGTTCACCTGTTGCACATGCAATTTACTTATCTCGCGATGTGAATCGATCATTCATCGGAACCAGATGGACAAGAACCGACAGGATGACCTTGTGCCACCTCCCTATCCTTTCGAATAATGGAGAGGCCTCAATGCCCATCAGACTTCTGAATTAACCCTAGTTGGTCACCATATGAGAACTGTGACTTGGTCACCTCCGCAGGGAATTGTCGCCTTATTATTTAGGCCCGAGCGTTGCCGAATTCACTCTATACTGCCCGGGCGCGTTTAGCGAGACTTCGGCAACGTCGCACAACGGGCAATTTCATTTAACATGGGAAAAAATCGTCCGTCTGTTAGAAATTTTTTTTTTTCTTCAGGACTTGTGGATATAAATAATTTTAAAAAATATTATGATTTTCTAGATACTTGAATTGACGCATTCCATTTTTTTAGGATTTTTCCGCTCAGCCAGTCAATGGTTTAAGAAAAAAAAATCGACCTTCTGCGGCGTTTCCCTCCTATGGTGACCAACTAGGGTTAAGAAGCGCCAGATTTCGTTCGTAAATAAAAGAGCTCTCACCATTTCCATTCCGATGCATAACGATCATGCGACTGTGCCTTAGCGAACTTCTTGTCGGTGTATGTCTGCCGGCAATTTGTGACGCGGCCAAGTTGACGGGAACGGTCGTCGACAAACAATTGGTCATCGTCGGCGCTTTGTCGAGATCCTTATTGTCTCTTGTATTGTCAGGTTCCATCCAAGCAATGTGACCTGTTGAAACCGCACTTATAAATATTTTTCAATTTCCCAAATGCTTCAATGCATAATTATGTGATTTTACTCTGATCCGTTCGAGAATTTTTGTGAATTTCGTAATAATCATATGAGGATAATAAGATAAGACGTTTTCAATACAAAATAGCCTAGGTTTTTTTTTCATGTAGGAAAGGGCGCATGATTGGCTAGTGATTTATACATATTATTTTTGATCAGTAGGTATTCATTTATGTATTTTTTATTAAAAAAGGACAATGTCCGTTTTTATTATCATTCGATTTGAGAAAAAATTTGAAAAATGATCCTCAAAAATTTACACGATGAAAAATTCACGTTGTAAGGTTTAAGAAATTAGTTGGATTTAAGAGTGAAATCGATGCCATTTTCCTTTTTGGTTTGTTTTTGTGTTTTGGAACGTTATTCTTCTATTTTTTTCAATGTGCATGTAAATTTATTGTTCATAATAATTCCATAAGTATTTTTGTTATATACAAAGGTACAAATTTTTTTTGAAATTTAAATATTAGAATTTTTCAACTATATTTTTCCCGTGCATCTTTCCTGCATAGCTTAGCCATCGCACATATATGTATAATAAACTTAAAAAAATGAATATATATTGATCAGTTTTAAAATGATTTAAAATATATATATATATATATATATATATATATATATATATATATATATATATTTTTTTTTTATTTTCAGACATGTTTATTTATTTATTTATTCATAAGCTAAGATAACCTTGAAATATTCATAAGCCTAGCATATGCTTAGCGAAATAAATTGCTGACCAAAAATGTGTCACCTATTTTTTAATAGAGGATTTTTTAAATAATTTACGACCACTGAATAATGAGATAAACCTTCGAAAACAAGTGGTTAATGACATTTGTTTAAATGTGAGTCTAGGTATTGTTGTTGATGAATTAGCAATTAATTGTCGAATGAACTTTTATTCTATTACACGGTCCCCTTTAATAATAAAAATTTTCCTTAAAAGAGGGATTCTCAAAAAAATTGACAACACACACATGCCTACAGACATACACTAAAAATAATATATTGCAACTTTTCAGGCCATACTTAATTATTTTGACGAAAACAATGCTCGCATTTGGGAACTGAAACTTATTATCTCATTTTGTAACCCGATAAAGAATGGCCTCACCATCTTTCAACCTAATTAGAAAGGCATTGGAATTTTTTGAATCATCTTAATTGATTTGGCATCAGATGTTTTTTTTCAGTAATCATTGAAACCCCGATTCTTAATAAGAACCTCACAAACAATAAGTATGGTGTGATTCTCATCACATTCTAATAAAGTCATGAAGTCATTGACATAAATTTTCCAAGCTATGGCGATTAAGTGCCGTTCACTGATGATTTTTCAAGTGAGGTATCGTATTTTGAAAAAGTATCATTATCTCTGAAACTATCATAAATTGAATTTCAATCGGTGTCGATATATGTTGAGAGCTTATGAGATTTTATGTTCAGAAAAAAAGTCCACGAGATCCGAGTTAATCAATAAATTCTTCATTGGAACAATTCCAGAAAAACAAAAAATATAATCATTTAATGACTCATGAGATTCCATCACCATGCAACCATTTTTCTTTGCTTTTTCAAAGCTATTTCGGAAATTCCAGTGATGAAACTCCGTGAGTCATTCAATACCGATAAAACGTAACAATCCGATCAATGGTTTTCCAGAACTCTAAATAAATGACGAAAATCGGTTAAAAACGGCAATACGTCCTTAAACGCTCTACCATTCCAATTCAGGTTTCTATGATTGTCACTCACCTGTTGCTCGATTATTCCCCTGAATCTTCGACACATTACCAACACTCGTTGCACTTGCAACCAGTGTTATCGTGGTAGTGGCCCCGTTCTCTCGCACCTGATTCAAGTTACCTACACTCGCGGCGGATGTTACGCACGGCGGCATTGCTGACACGTCCTACGTCACACAATTCCCTCATAAACTTTTTTCTGTCTCTCATTAACGTACATATATACAACTGAATCAAGGTAAACCAAGCGTCACATCACCTTGTAATTATCGTAGAAGCTGACGGGCCGAGTCCTACCATTGCACTGACCCGCCGGCGCCTCATCGTCCTGTTGCACCTGAGAAAAGCCATTCAAACCGGCGCCGGGATGCGCGCGCATCTCCTCCGGCATTCTTTGAAATATCCGGTGCCACTTCAATTTAATTGCATCTGAATGAATCAAATAGATGATACATATGTGAGGAGAAAAAAAATGTGCAGTGACTTGACAAACATAAAGATGGGTCTTGAAATTTGAGGGTAGTTATTTTGCAAATATACGAAAAGCTAGTGAATTTAGTAGCAAATTTCAGATTTTTTTTTCGCAAAACAAAAAAAAATATGTCTCTGATCTTAAAAAACCTCTCAAACAATCTTTTTCATAGATCACGAACAAGATCTCTCGATCAATTCCTGTTTGAGAACTTCTTCTTTTCGAGAATAATTGGGTTTTTACTACTTCATTACTCGAATTTTAAATGCAAAATAGTATGAATACGCAAAAGGCTGTGTAATTGGAGGAATAACAACTCATTTCCCTATCTAACTCTGTGTTTAAATAGGTAGGTCACATTGTCACATTCGCATTGTATAAACCGGTGAGACTAGCAATAAAATGCGTTTGACCTGTTCATTCCTATTACGCAATTCCATGTGTAGCATTAGCACACGAACTCCATCCATCTATTCGGTGCTTGGACTTGGGAGGGTGAATGCCAATTATGTGAAAGTAAATGCAATAGGTACTAAACGCAACGCGTGAGCGGTTCAGTAAACTCAATGGCACTAATGCGAGAACGACAGGAATAAAGTTAAAAGATCAACTTTTTAACGAATGAGAAAAACGATAGATGACTAATGCGAGAACGACAGGAATAAAGTTAAAAGATCAACTTTTTAGCGAATGAGAAAAACGATAGATGACATTTATCACAGTTGCTCATTAGAATATGTGGGAGAAACGCGAGGAGTATTCAGGTTCCCGGAGTGAGCGTTGCAACATTCATGTTTTTCGGAGAGAATTAGTGGAGAGGTACTAATTTAGTCATCAAGTGGTAAAACAAGGTACGCTCAAAAGTTACTTACATATCCCTTGCCAAATATATCTTTGTGCAATCTCTGATTATGAGTGATCTCACTTTACTAGCTTTTCACAAAATTAATTTAGTAGCGAAGCGGTAAACCGGGTTAAGTCGATTTTTTTTCAAAAATGAGTTTTTCACTGAAATCGACACTTGAGGGTATGATGCATCTGCCGCATAAACGATTTTAGCTTTGGAATATATTTAATACCTTTTTCGAAACGAAATAAGACCGGTTAAGTCGCACTTTTGAGAAAAATCCATTTCAGAGAAGCTAAGTCGACATAACCCGAAAAAAATGATTTAAAAATGAGCCAAGTCGACTTAGCTGGTTTTGTATGGGTTCAATAGGTATTCTTAAAATTCTTCTTAAATTGCAGTAGTTTGAATTAAAGAACTGGATTTCTAGCTTTCCCACTTTACCGACTATAGAATTTTACTATGACTTTAGAATAAAGGAAAATTAATTAAATCCATCCACCTGCTAATTTCTCAATCGATTTTTTTTTTATTGAGTGGCGGTTTAAGTCGACATAACTCGGTTGGAGGGGAAAATGGAAAGAGCTAAGTTGATAAAAATTGTTAAAAAATGGTCTGCAGAAGTTGCAACTTATCGTGCTAAAATTTCTCTCGATATTGAACGAAATCCGTGCCTGAGTTTGATTAAACTCACCAAAGGGCAGTGACTATGAGTTTTTTGACTCTCCTAAAAAATTCACATTTTTTAACTTAACCCGTTTTACCGCTTCGCTACGGAATTGATGGAGGTAATGTGTAGAAACTCAATGAATTGCGGAGAAAATATTTCAAATAGTTTTGGTAAAATTAATAAATTAGTACTTAATGGAATGTAATGTAATACAATAAAAATCACCCCCACATTCAAGTAACTTTTTGACAAATGTCATCGAATCTGAAGAGCATAAACAAATTAGGATAGTAACCTTTTAGTATAAGAAAATCAGCGCTGTCTTAAAGTTATTTCCAAAAAATTTGACTGCTCTCCTTGAGATCTGAAATATCCTTCAAAAACTATTACTTCAAATTCACTGACTCCTCTTGCTCCTCTTCACTACTACATTTATTTACGACTCGAATTGATGAATTATTTAATTAATATTAATGTTTTTAGATAAGCAATAAATACTGATGAACTGAGCCTCGTTGGACGTCACGGTGACAACTAAGACTTGGATTACTTGGGAAACAGGAGACGAGCCCCACCAGATCCCTCCTCCTTACTTGTATCCGTTTGCGCTTCAAAGAAGTGCCCAGCACTTTCGATTTTTTTCTCCAATGACTAAATTAGTTACATCAGCGCCCTAATCTTAATCAATCAATAATGAAAATTAATTTCAATACCTTGGATTTGTACATTCATATTAGAATGACGCAGAGAATCTGGTATTTATGTGGCCAGCCAAAAACTTGAATGAAAACTAGACTTGTTTACGTTGAACTGAGAACCACTGAGACCGGGTACTTTCACGTCGTTGAGTGTTCAGTGCGAGAGACCACGCAAGACGGAGGCATCTCACCACCGTCATGCCCACTGATGATCACGCCTACCTTTACCTTGACTCCCTCTTCTTGTGGTTATTATTGTACAATTATTTCCATAGTTGACTGGTGAGAAGAGGAGATGAGTCCATAAATAATGAATTTGTCGATGATTTTGAAAAAAATCTCCAAGAGGAAGAGGTTGAGAAAAATTCAGCAAAAGTTATTATTTTCGACGGGAATTTTTTTCGACTTGTAGAAACGTCTATTAACATTTTTTACTAACATCACTGACCGATGCTATATGCATCATTGAAAATAGATATTTACTTTGTTGCACTATACCGATACGCTAGCCATCTTAGAATAAATTATTGATATTGTTATGAAATGCTTGGAATGAATGAATAATCCCTTCCCTCCTCCTGAAGTGTGAATCAAGTGACAATTGAATGATGTATTGATGATGAAGAGTTAATCTTTTGTCTATGATTAATGAATTTGTCTCTCTCTCGCTGTCATTAAAATAAATCCACCCTTTTAATGAAATAAAACTCTCTTATTTACTACATGTTGAAACAATTGTCTCAACATGTTTCGTCTCTATAGATATTTTTCAAAATCTTGGCCCATATATTGTTTTTTGTGAAGGTCATGCATTTTCTACCATCTGTTTAATGTAGAGGGTCTGTTCTCCATCATGGGAGACCCCTTCGAAACATTCAGACTCTTCCAGACACTCAACGATAAAACATCACCAACTTCAATAGCCCTGGATTTTTACCACTAAACCACAAACCTCCACAATTCATGAATAAACTTGTACTTTAATAGTCTTCCATGATACAAAAGTCAAAGTTTATTTGTGACATTTCACAATACAAATCTTCAAACCAATGATTCCCATCCTTCGCATCACCAACTTTTCTTCGCCATAAATAATAATAATAATGATGAAGATTGATGATTTTCACGCATAACATCATATATAGTATTCATCTCAACATGATTAAATTGTGAAACTCGAGTCTCTCGTGCTCAAGAAAAATAAATAAATTAAAAACATTACGACAAACTTTAGTATAAAAAATAATCTGTGCTGTGCTCTTTTTTCTCCTCAACTATCACATGTTTCATAATATTATCAACACTGGAGTCAGAATCCAACCTAACATAAGCCGAACGAGCCTCGGCATCTGCCAGTAGAGCGTTCCACATCTGATTTCGTTTGAAGGTTTTAAAATTACCACAAAGTACCAATGTGTGTTTGGCCCTCGTTAGACTAACACACAGTCGATTAGGATCATTAACGAAACCAATGCCTCTGCTCCTAACGCAGGACATGATAATAATATCACGTTCCTGGCCTTGAAAGCTGTCCACTGTGTTGACTTGAATTGATTTCAGTTTTAAGTACAAGGGACTGGGCTTTTCTGGAACTTCCTTCATCACTTGTTCTCCCTTCTCATTCTCTTTATAATTTTCCTTCGTCTTTCCATTTTCTCCAGCATTCTCCCCTTCATTCTCTTTATCATCTTTTTCTGCTGCTTCCTCTCTATTCTCTTTGGAGATTTGTAAATCATTTATTTCTTTCTTTTCTTGTGTTTTCAGGAAGTCCTCCCAGTCGTCATATCTGCTATCATCAGTTATATTTAAATGATTTGGTACTTTAATTGAGGTCTCATTAGCATTGTTATCTACATCTCCTGCCTTAGCTATTTTAATCTTTTTTTTCTTAGGTGCATGCTCTTCATAACGAGCCTTCAATAGATCGAGAATGACTTTTCTCTGCTTTCGATACGGAGTTATGATTCCAATACTGATATTTTGGTTCACAGCATCCTTGACTAGTTCCACCACCATTCCAAAAGTTAAATTCACTACTAATCTTGCTTCTCCCAGGTTTGAGTCGTTCTGATCCTGATGGGAGAAGTGATGAATGAGTTTGTAGTTCGTGAAAGGCAACGGCGGGACGGTGGATCCTGTTCTTAAAGCTCCTTGGTAGAAGAAATTGTTCGGCCACTTAACAATCTCTTCCACCATTCTGTACTGAGTGTCGAGCATTAGAATAGGATTGCCCTTTTGGATCTCAAAGTTCTTCTTGGCGCGATAGAAGAGGGACTCGTCGAACCCACGGACTTTCGCCTCCTCGGATAATACTGTTGGGGGTAATTGTTTTGGGTCTCCTACTAGGATTAGAGTGCTCACGCCCAGCATCAAAGGGATCAAGGTGCCTAGTTCAGTCGCTTGGGCTGCCTCGTCGACGATGCACACCGGAATATTCAGACCATCTTTGCTGAAAAATTAATTGCCATTTCTGAGACATTAACTTCGTCGTGAAGTAAGGAAAAACTGCAGATGAGGAGGGAAATTATGCAGAACATTTTATGGAGGTGAGTCGTGCGTTGAGAGGTGCGAAAATCCTCTCTGACAAAGCTTTTCAAAAGTAGAGTACCTTAGAGTACCTTGGACGCATATAATTTTGGTAGAAAAAATCACAATAGTATATTTCAGAGCGAGTGCCATGGAGTTTTTTACTCGCGTGGAGTTGGCGTCCGAGCCGAAGACGAGGTCTGGCCAACCACGCGAATAAAAAAACCCATGCCACTAGTCGTAAACGATATTTTTCCGTAGTGAAATTATGCAGAACATTTTATGGCGACGATTTTCAGTGTTACGAGTTTGGGAAAGGGCCAATACCAATCCCCGGACGTGGAAAAGTGGAGATCAGCACGGAAAAAATATTTAAAAAATGAACGTCCGATTTTAAGATGGCTGAAATTTGCCATCTTTTCTTTGTTCCAAAAATTATAGGAAAGTATTTATGACGGGGCGGGCATGAAAGAGGTGAGACGGAGGTGAATCTACTGTTCTCTCGCAGAAAACCAATCCCTGAACAAAAAAAAATTAAATTTCAATGACAAATTTTCAATCTATTTCGACTATTTTTGTGTTCGAAATATTTTTTGAATAACTTTTCTATTTTTTCCCCACACATTTTAAGCCTTTTTTTTATGTTTGTAGCTTGCCTTTTGGATAATTGGAAAATAATTAATATCGATAGAAAAAGTGACAACGTCGTGCTGTTTGAGGTACAAGTTGGCAGCACTGATTCACTCAGCTGTTATGTTCCTTCCCATAGCGAAATGTATCCTCACCATCCTCACAATCCATTCATATTTGTCGCGCCTTCCCCTCCACGATTCTTAACCTCGACGATGTCGCTATTCCAAGTTGCGCACGCAGAATTCCTATTTTTCATGAGTTTTTTAATTATCCCTTCTAAATAACTCTCCTAGGCCACTTAGATTATTTTTTTTTATGTTCCTCCATGAAAACACCACCCAAGTGCGAAATTTTAGGAAAATGACTTCTTTTTTTCTATTTTTGATATTTCTTTTCCAAATTCCCAAAAGAGCCCGGGTTAAAATGCACTTCTTCGAAAAATTCCTGTGTTTCACCGATTCTCCTAGGCTATCTGGGATTTTGCATAGGGGTTTGAAAAAATCAAAGAATGTATAAAAAAAATATCATCAATTTTTTGACATTTTTACGATCCCCCCTGACCACACCATAAATATCTTAACGACGTTCAAGCGATGATGGAATGTAGGAGATGAGGCAGAGGGGAATTTAATTTTTATATGCAATTTTAATAATAAATTGAAAATAATTAATTTGTGTAAAAAAAGTGGCAGCGTGGGCCGGACGCCAGTTATTTCTCCTCAAAATTGATTGGCCTGCCACACTCTATGGAGGGTTTCTCGCTGTACGTAGTCACGCGCATAAACACATGTAAATTTTTTTCATCGATATACATTCATCCAAAACATTCATCACCCACGTCTTTATAATTTACTATCGACGAGCAAAATAATAGTTAATGAATCCCAGGATCTTTCTGTGAAGTCAGGACTCACGAATGATTCCCGCATGAGTGACAGTGCCAAAGTATTGTCTCTGTATTCGGTTTAACCCCTCACGTACGGGGTCTTTCTGATACCAAGGCTACCACTCGCTCAATACTCTTCACATCCCATATTTTCTGATGAATGAAAAATTATAAATAAAATATATAATTGAAGCTACAGTATTCACCTTCCCAATGGTATTAGTCCAATTGTATTATCTGCCATAGTTTCGGAAATATTCAATTTTGAAAAGAGCCGTACGTTTTTGCATGGGTCGGTATGACATACCGAGCCCGTACGTGAGGGGTTAACCTCAAACAGAGATTACTGCAGAAACAATGGGTTTTCTCAAGGCGAAGCGTGTTCGGATCTCATGAAGTTCACAACGATCCTTTGTTCATTTTTACATTTACCGCGTTTACCCCCAACCGATCGGAAAGTGTTACGTTGTCGCAACTCACAGTTGCGCGCACAGAAATTCGCATTTTTAGTTGTTTTTTGTCAATTTTGGCTAAAAAAACTAATCCAACTAATGTTTTTTGGTTTGCAGAAGATGTATTCATTAATGTGTCACATGTGGACGACGTTTCGTGACATTGGCTGCATTTTTACATTCAGTCTATGCATTTTTCCACATTCTCCATAAGAACGCGGGTTAAATTCCGTTTTTTAAAATAATTTATTCCATTCGAACCATTAACCTCAGCAATCTGAAACTCCACACAGAGCATCGAAATAGATCAAAGAATGTACTTAAAAAATGTCAAAAAATTGGCTGAATTTTTTTACCTCGCTTGAACATCATTAAATGCTAGTCTATACATTCAAGAATATATTCATAAAGAAAGAATGGAAAAGTTGTAAAAATTATTTGCTTTTTTTGCAAGAAAATGTCATTTATGTTGTGGTTATCTCCGGACATAAATGTCATACAGCCACTTTTTGTAGCTAAGCAAGTTTTGCAACGAAAATTTTTCTTCCGAAACTGATGATTATGAAAATATCGATGTGAATCGTTTCCTCGTATCAGGCATGATTGTCATCAATTTGAGGCCCGCCTCCATTATCTGCGGAACGATATCTGAATGATTGTTTGTTCCATTTTTATCTCGAAATTTTAATTCGATGCCCCGTCACTCAGAAACACCCGAAAATTCTAAATTTAGATTGAAAAGAATGTAAAAAAATGATTTCAATAAAGGAGATATGAATAATGTATAGGGTAAACTGCCCAGTAGATGGACGCCCAAGAAAACCGCCCAGTAGATGGACGTTTGTTTTTTAGCAAATGAAAAAAAAAATTGATCGAAAAAAAATCGTCACTCAGGGGTTAAGAATTACGACAGTTGGTGAAAATACAAAGCAACAATTCACATTTCAGTGTTTTTTTGCGTAATTTCCTATCCAAAAGTAGCTCGTCCATCTACAGGGCAGTGTCCATCTACTGGGTAGCTTACTCTAATTACCGTGGCAAATGGTGGCCTGTCAGTCGCCACTATCATGGGGGAGGAAAGGCAAAATGATAAATGGTATGGCACACCACAACAAGACGATTGTACGAAAAAAGGCTTTTTGAAAAAAATTTTAATATTTTTAAGAATTTTTTGATCGTACTTTTATGATGAATTACTAATCACTTATGCCGATTTCCTCCATTGATAATTGCACTGGCGATCAGCTTTCGGGAATTGAAAACGGAAAAATCGCTCTTTTTTCCTTTTTTTTCCCCCCCCCCCCCCTCAAATGACAGTTAATGGACATTACAATTCTTAATTGAGGAGATCGGTGTAAGTGGTTAGTAGATCATCCCAAAAGTGTGATGAATAAATTGTTAAAAATACTACAAAATGTTTCAAAGACCTTTTTTTTGTACAATCGTCTGGTTGCGCTGTGCTAAAGGATTTATTATTTCGTCTTTCCTCCCCCCCCCCCATGGTGGCGACTGACAGGCCGCTATTTGCCACAGTAATTATACATTATTCATATCTCCTCTATTGAACTCATTCCTCAATATGAATTAAAAACGCTCTTTCAAAATGTTCAAAATTTTTTCTTTTTTTCAATGCAAATTAAAAATTTTCAGCGGATCTCTGAGTGACGGGCTATCGAGTAGAAATTTCGAGATGAAAATCGAAGAAAAAAAGCATTCTAGATAACGTCCTGTAGATAATGGAGCCGGGCCTTAAAACTGAAAATTTTAAGATTATGAATGAATTGCTTGGTCCATTACCCAAAGAGATTTTCCATCTGAAATGTATAACATGATGACAAAGTCGTGGCAATTACGTCAGCATCTTCCAATATTCTGGCTTCAACGTTTCGCTTGTTTTGGGGGCCCAAACCCAGTTTTAACATTTGACTGTGGAATGATAATGCCACTTCTTTTACCTCAGCACCCATTTTCTCTTCACGACCGATTCTGACGATTGTGAAAGGATCCATCATTCCTGAAAGATAATTGCTATATTTAATCATTCCGGCAGAAATTATCAAGAGAACTTTAGGTGGAACTTTTTTTTGCTTTGAGATTTGATAGAGAAGAGAATAACAAAATTGTAATCAACTTCTAACATTTCATGGAGTAATTTTATTGTCAGGATAGAATAGTAACGTTTTTGTACAGATAAGTTATCTCATCATTGTTCTTTCGAATTTCTAATTCTGGAAAATAATCGAGAATTAACAAGAATATTCTCTTCGATTTGAATTATTATTCTACTTATCGATGGCAACATTATCTCCGTAAAAAGTGATCTTTCCTTCTCCATATTTTTTCCCCAGATAGTAACTCAATTGTCGAACTTTTTATTTTTAACTCTAGATTGTCATTTATACGAAATGTCTCTTACCCTCTCGATCTTTTTGCACAGCAATGAGATTTCCCACGACTTCATCAATAGCCCTATTCGATGGAGCACACAGCAAAATTTTGGTATTCGTTTTCTTCAGAACTTCACAAATGATATTAAGAATAACCTTCGACTTTCCCGTTCCTGGAGGTCCCTGAATCAAACATATTTTTGGACTCTGCTGGGCGACGGTTTTCACGATCCTCGCAACAACTTCCAGTTGTTTAGAATTTAGCGTATGCCCAGTAATTAGCGGAAAGACACTAGAAAAATTAGCCTCTAGCAACTCATAATCCTCAACCTTTGGTTGTATCACCGACTGGAAAAGCGGTGACTTCGAGAGATCCTCCATAGCCCTCACAAACCTCAAATAAGGACCCAGTGGATGGACAGTCGTCAACTGCAATTCACTCGACGCTGATCCATAAAAGCGTAACTTCTTAGTCTTAATCGAGTATTTCACCTCAATCTCTGAGGTCCGAGGAAATCTGGTCCTTACACATTCTTCAATGTACCCAAAAAATTCTTCTCGACCGTTTTGAAACTTCACAAGGTCTCCTCGTATTGGATAATCTTCCACCCTCGTCATAACTTTAACCAACTTCAGTACTGAAATTTGATCATCTCCATTCGCTAACGACCTCGATCTCTCACTATCAAAACTAGCAATTACAGTCCTTGCCTTCTCCTCCTTTCCATTTCCCTTTCCCTTCCCAATCCCTTTTTCCTCAGTCTCATTCTCTCTGTTCTCCCCGTCCTTCTTTAACACATGCCAAAATTCAAGCAACAAAAGTGGAAGCATCGCTTTACAATAATCCTCGAATTTTTCATACGATAATGAAGTTGATATTACTGATTTGGGGTCGACGATTGGGGGTGGTTTTGCGTTGTACTGTTTGTCAGTAAGCCACTCTGGTTTCCATTGGAAAATGTGAAATAAAAATTCATCGAGTCTCAGGTGAGAGTCCTCCTGTGCAATATCGTCGTCCCAATTAGGGTGATATGAGTCTGAGTAATCATTTGATCTCCCTTGATGGACATTTGTAGTACTGAAACGGATTTTTAAAAATATCCTTAGAAAACCTGTTTATGACCGTGACAACTGTCTACGAGAAATGTCTCCTCATCTTTTTTTCCATATCAACTAATTATCTAAATAATATAATAATCAACGCATAAAAATTGAAGTCGAAGAATATGAGTTACAAAACTATGTATGGATACAGTACAAAATGTTTGAAAAATGTTTTTTTTAGAATGCAAAATTCCCTGATAGAAGAGTCTCTTCATCAGTTTCTTCAACCTTTGTGCTTCCCAGGGATAGCCATATCCATAAATTATAATTACCGTTAAATTATCAAGTAGCCAATTAGGTTAATATCACTCTTCAATTTTAATTATTGAAGTAATCATCAATTTAAATGTGCAAATTCCGAATTATTTAGTAATCAGTAATTTAGTTAGGAAGATTATTTGAATTATGATTATTTGGATAATCGGAAATCCCTTAAGAAATTTAGTATTATTTACTCAAGGCCCAGGTGGATTATCTTTCAAACGTCATCTCAATTATTTTACCATCTTCATAATGTAAAATATACGGCGTGACTATTCGCGCCAAATACGGGTGATGTACGGATAATGTACGGGTCATACGGCTAATCTACGGGTCGCCTATCGGTTCAGCCTGAACTACGGGGTAAAAATGTCTTGTACGGATTAATGTACGGGTCAAAAATGACCACTGCTAAGTTATCTGAACTGAGTCATATTATCTAGTTGAATTATCTGCACGGGCTACATCTGTATGGGTTCGTCATTTTATATGGAAATATTGGATACCACTTAAATACTGAACTTAGATTCACGTGGCTGTATTTTCAACTTGGAAAAAAATGGAATAATTTTTAGAAAAAAAAAAGAATACGTACGAAAAGAATTTGTTCTTCCTTTTTCTAACATAATCTCTGTCCGATTTGACCCATCACGGACGAAAAAATTTGATAGAAAAATCTAACGAATTGAATAGAATATTAGATTGTATTTCTATTCAACTCGTATTCAAAACTCTATAATAATCACTATAGTTTATAGCTATTCCTATGGAATAATTCCGCAGGTTTACAACACGTTTTTTTCATAGAAAATGTCCAAGAGAATGCATTTCATAAAGAAAATCAGTAGTATTTTATCTTTATCTAAAACTTTTTTTATTGAACATTTTTTATAAGAATTCCTTGACATGAATTTTCTAAGCTTTTTCCATTTCATTTTTCTTCTTATTTTCTTAACAAAAAAATTTGGAAAATATGAGTCCAGAAATTTCTATAGAAAATATCTGAATATCTGTTAATCTTATTTGTGTGTTCTAGAAATGGAAACTCATATGATTCTTTGGTTTTTTAGCTATTTGGGAAATACCGGAATANCTGTTTATGACCGTGACAACTGTCTACGAGAAATGTCTCCTCATCTTTTTTTCCATATCAACTAATTATCTAAATAATATAATAATCAACGCATAAAAATTGAAGTCGAAGAATATGAGTTACAAAACTATGTATGGATACAGTACAAAATGTTTGAAAAATGTTTTTTTTAGAATGCAAAATTCCCTGATAGAAGAGTCTCTTCATCAGTTTCTTCAACCTTTGTGCTTCCCAGGGATAGCCATATCCATAAATTATAATTACCGTTAAATTATCAAGTAGCCAATTAGGTTAATATCACTCTTCAATTTTAATTATTGAAGTAATCATCAATTTAAATGTGCAAATTCCGAATTATTTAGTAATCAGTAATTTAGTTAGGAAGATTATTTGAATTATGATTATTTGGATAATCGGAAATCCCTTAAGAAATTTAGTATTATTTACTCAAGGCCCAGGTGGATTATCTTTCAAACGTCATCTCAATTATTTTACCATCTTCATAATGTAAAATATACGGCGTGACTATTCGCGCCAAATACGGGTGATGTACGGATAATGTACGGGTCATACGGCTAATCTACGGGTCGCCTATCGGTTCAGCCTGAACTACGGGGTAAAAATGTCTTGTACGGATTAATGTACGGGTCAAAAATGACCACTGCTAAGTTATCTGAACTGAGTCATATTATCTAGTTGAATTATCTGCACGGGCTACATCTGTATGGGTTCGTCATTTTATATGGAAATATTGGATACCACTTAAATACTGAACTTAGATTCACGTGGCTGTATTTTCAACTTGGAAAAAAATGGAATAATTTTTAGAAAAAAAAAAGAATACGTACGAAAAGAATTTGTTCTTCCTTTTTCTAACATAATCTCTGTCCGATTTGACCCATCACGGACGAAAAAATTTGATAGAAAAATCTAACGAATTGAATAGAATATTAGATTGTATTTCTATTCAACTCCTATTGAAAACTCTATAATAATCACTATAGTTTATAGCTATTCCTATGGAATAATTCCGCAGGTTTACAACGCGTTTTTTTCATAGAAAATGTCCAAGAGAACGCATTTCATAAAGAAAATCAGTAGTATTTTATCTTTATCTAAAACTTTTTTTATTGAACATTTTTTATAAGAATTCCTTGACATGAATTTTCTAAGCTTTTTCCATTTCATTTTTCTTCTTATTTCCTTAACAAAAAAATTTGGAAAATATGAGTCCAGAAATTTCTATAGAAAATATCTGAATATCTGTTAATCTTATTTGTGTGTTCTAGAAATGGAAACTCATATGATTCTTTGGTTTTTTAGCTATTTGGGAAATACCGGAATAGAGAAAAGTGTCCCATTTTCTTCGGAAAGTTAGGGAATTCTTGAATATGTCCATCGGGAATTCCCCAGGCCTTGAAACTCAACTCATTAATATAATAAAAAGGTTTTCGTGAGAAGACCCGGTAAACCGCAATTCTAACCTCGCTTCGCTCGGTTTGATCGCGGTTTACGGGCCTTCTGACGAAAAATTGCATTCATCACACGGTCCAAAAGTATTTTCTGACGAATGTGATTNTCATATTATCTAGTTGAATTATCTGCACGGGCTACATCTGTATGGGTTCGTCATTTTATATGGAAATATTGGATACCACTTAAATACTGAACTTAGATTCACGTGGCTGTATTTTCAACTTGGAAAAAAATGGAATAATTTTTAGAAAAAAAAAAGAATACGTACGAAAAGAATTTGTTCTTCCTTTTTCTAACATAATCTCTGTCCGATTTGACCCATCACGGACGAAAAAATTTGATAGAAAAATCTAACGAATTGAATAGAATATTAGATTGTATTTCTATTCAACTCGTATTGAAAACTCTATAATAATCACTATAGTTTATAGCTATTCCTATGGAATAATTCCGCAGGTTTACAACGCGTTTTTTTCATAGAAAATGTCCAAGAGAACGCATTTCATAAAGAAAATCAGTAGTATTTTATCTTTATCTAAAACTTTTTTTATTGAACATTTTTTATAAGAATTCCTTGACATGAATTTTCTAAGCTTTTTCCATTTCATTTTTCTTCTTATTTTCTTAACAAAAAAATTTGGAAAATATGAGTCCAGAAATTTCTATAGAAAATATCTGAATATCTGTTAATCTTATTTGTGTGTTCTAGAAATGGAAACTCATATGATTCTTTGGTTTTTTAGCTATTTGGGAAATACCGGAATAGAGAAAAGTGTCCCATTTTCTTCGGAAAGTTAGGGAATTCTTGAATATGTCCATCGGGAATTCCCCAGGCCTTGAAACTCAACTCATTAATATAATAAAAAGGTTTTCGTGAGAAGACCCGGTAAACCGCAATTCTAACCTCGCTTCGCTCGGTTTGATCGCGGTTTACGGGCCTTCTGACGAAAAATTGCATTCATCACACGGTCCAAAAGTATTTTCTGACGAATGTGATTATAGGCCTCGCCTTCGGCTCGGCCTACAAAGCCACATTCGTCAGAAAATACTTTGTGGACCTTGTGATGAAAATAACTATTATTGCCTTTCTTTTCTTCCCACTGACCAAGCGCGCGGCTATAAAAGGACCCAGGTATACCTGCATGGGGTCAGTACCTCGATTGTCAGTTGTCGAAAACTATTTGAATCTGAAAAGGAAGAGCTTCCTATGGAAGAGCAACGGGACTTAAGTGTACTCATTCCTGTAGATTTTTTGATCCTTTCTCAATGCTATGATGATAAGTAACTAATAGGGATCCAGGATCCTTTCTCAATGCTATGATGATAAGTAACTAATAAATACTCCTGAACTGTTCTATAAAGTATTGAATGGTTTTCAGAAAAAAATGAAAATGTGCGGGAGAATGGACAATTATCCCGATTTTTTTCTCATGTTGAATAAAAATATTATTTTTTACATAAGAAAATGGAGAATGATTGATCCCGGGATTAAAAGTCGGAAGAAAATCTATATTATTGAGGACGTAAAATAAAATTACATGTCCAATTTACATCTGGTGAATTACAAATAGAAGTGTTTCCTGGTGTGTTCCTTGAGTGCGTATATTCAAAGAAGAATAGAGGCGCCCATAGTAAATCCGAGATAGGTTCGCACTCACTCAACTTAATAAATTAGAGTTGGAGAAAAAGGTTAAAGCAAAATTTATTCAACTTTTTTTTTCATTTCTTTAATTTTTCTCCACCTTATTTGAATGCATTTGCACGCATTTAATTAAGAAAACAAATGAAAATGTGTTTTTCCTCCAATTCGAACGTTCGTACTGTTGCATTTCATGAAAAAAAAATATTAGAATGATCGATATATTGAATGGAATTAGTTTATAATTTTTTTTTCAGGGTGGATACTTGAATCAGCTAACGAAAAATAATATATTGTGTTAATAGTGCGTAAAGTTTATTTTTTTCATACACACGTGTGACATATTCTATTTTTTTATGAGTTCACTATTCGAAACGGTAGTGGTGGAAAAGTGGATGGTTTTGTATACAAGTGCGCAAAGCCCAAGAGCGTGCGTAGAGTGAATTTCGAGTGCGTAGCACTTTTCAGGCAGAAAAACATAAGCAAAAAATTGCACTACTTTTGATTTTTTTCCCACCAGCAAATTGGAGTCTCCCTTCAGAACAATTATAAATTAATTTCATTCCCTATATCGATTATTCTCACATTTTTTGAGAATCCTAAAACTGTTCACATTGTGGAAAGACGTGTATTTTTTCAATGAAATGTGTCAAGATATATTCAAGTAAGGCGACAAAAAAATTTGAAAATTCAAACAGAATATAAAAGAACAAAACATTTGGGTATGAAATTTCGTTCTCTAAAATTAATATATTGAGTTGAAGGGGTTGGAACCTGTTTCGAATTCCGTATAAACTCCTTTATTTGTCTTCGCAAATACACAATCAAAAAATTTGAGGGAGTTTACAAATAACATTTTCTCATCAGGAAACGCTCTCAACTTTTTCAGAATTTTTGATGATGTAGAAATATATAGGCAATATATGCTCACTCGACGAAGAATCTCTCATATATCGAAAATTCTATAAATGGCAATAATACTTCAATTTAAACGTAAAAAAGTTATCCCCCATCCTTCCCTGACATAAAAATGGCTAAATTTGTTACAAATTGCAATGATCACGATAAATATTGATGAAAACTCATTGAAGCTCCCGTGACCCAATTCTGGGACGCTCGAAATCACCCCTGTCAGGTTGCTGAACGCCACGGACCTAATTCTTGAACGGAGTCATTTTCAGGAAACTAATTGATTGAAATTCATTATCAGGATTTCTTTACTAGACTTTTATTATCATGTTAACAGTGATAAACTATCACAAACAACAAAATAGAATTAAAATAAAGAAACGAGACGTCTTAGCTTTCTCCAAATCCTCATTTGTATAGTTCGGTGTTTTTGGTTGTTCATTTTTAGACCTAGGATTGGATAAGAAGTAATAATATCCATTACTAAATTTTTTCTAATAAATAAAGGGAAAAATATTGGTGGGAGAATCCTTTTTCACAGTAGTGGAGGGGCTGACAAGAGAGAGTATTGAGGTTAACTAATCGGAAAATACCCGTCCGCAACTGGGCCAACCTCGAGTTTGGTTGACCCAACCCTGAGATTTGATATTTCCTCCATGAATAATTAATATTTCTATTTTTTTGACACAGATTAATCCAGAAGGGTCCTTTAATTACTGGAAATAATTAAAAATCAATTGTTTACTTGCATTTTCGTGTATAATCCTTACGTAGTGTCGAGGAATTTTACCACTCATTTACAATGGAATCTCCCATTAGGGAATACACCATGAGTGCTGATACATCAATTGATTATTAAAAAGTGAAAAAGACTCGTAAAATATGGGAAAAGAGCACTATTTATTGAGGAAACACTTCACTATCCGGTGACAAAAAAAATAATGGACTCTGATGACTAGGGAATTTGAAAAATATGAAATTTCATCGCCGGAACGCTCTGCGTTCAGCGAAGGGGACCTGTTCCGTGACTGGGACACTCACGGTATTTTCAAATTCTTCAACTGCCAATTTTTTCTGCGTCATATTTTTCATTTTTTCATGTGTGAATTTGATCTTTATATCAAAACATATCTAAATTGCCTAATTGTTGATCATGAGAAAAAAAAACATAGTATTTCTAAATTTTTTTAACTCACAAATTATTCTTCACTTCCCAAATTTTAATTTTTTCATATTTATCACACGCCAAAATTATCAATTCTTGCTTTTCAGATTTTCATACATAAATTCTAAACTCTACAAAATTCACGAAAATTCTTCGGTTTCCCAAATAATTCGAGAAAAATCTGTGATTTACGGTTATCTGGAAAACTGTGAAATTTTCCGAAGAATGCAAGAAATTTTTTCAGTTCTCTAGGAAATCAATTCATAACCCTCCCCTGATTTTTCAACAATTACAGATTTTAATCAGATTATTTTAAAAAGTAAAAAAAAAATAATTAATCGAAGATTAAAAATTATTCATTGATGCTTCACTCTTCATTCTCTTAATTCTCTCTAAGTCATTATCAATATTTATAAAACATCTATGCGCGAAAGCGCGCGCACAGATCTAGTATATTTAAACCTTCATCAATGTAAGTAGGAAATTCTTTTAATATTGAAGAATCGGAAGATTGGTGGCTATCCCTGGTGCTTTTGGAAATATGTTCAAAGCATCCATGTTTTGTATAAATTTGAGACGTCAGTATCTCCGGGAAGTCATGGAATGTGCAAGGAAATTGCAGAACGCTCTAGATAGGTCTAGAAACTTCTGGGAAGTAGGAGAATCATCTGGAAAATCCTTCAAAATATGTAATCGTTCGTCTTAAAAAATATGGACAGCTCTACAAACTTTGGAAAAATCTAGATCTGTACTGAATCTTTTAGAAAGTTGGGGAATCATCTCCAAAGCCCTCCAATTTTCTAAGCTTTGATCATTCTTTCTAACGTATCCCAAAAGATTCTGAGGCTCTCGGCGAATTGCTCAAACCTTCTCGATTTATTCCAGGACTTATAAAATCCTTGTATGACCGTTCGACAATATTTTAGAACATTCCTGAATTTTTTAGCATTTATTGTATAACAGTCGATTTCAACAAGAACAAATTGGTTAAAAGCTAAAAGAGAACACTGAGAAAAAAAATTATTTACATTAAAAACATTATTTAATTACAAAATCGTATCTCTCCAATCAAGTCATTCCCAGGCGAGCCTGATTAGGTTTCAATTATGGCAATCATATTGCTCTAGACGATGACTATATTACACATGACCTTGGATGAACTCCTCCAATGATTATTCATTTTTCCTAAATTTCTTATTTTCTACAGAGAAGAATTTCGATTAATTTTTTAATGTTTATAATCATTGAGGGAGTTCATTCAAGGTCATAACTAACAGGATCATCTTCTAGAGCAATATAATTATCATAATTGAAACCTAATGAGAATTATCTGGAAATGATTCGGCTGGAGAAATACGGTATTAAAAAAATAAATACTTCTCTCAAGTATAAATGGATATTTGGCAAAAATAATTTTTCTTGTCAGTGGATGGCAATAAATGCGTCTTGAGATGTCGAAGGACGTTATTAAAACGAAAAAAGAAGAGACAAATGAAAATGAATTATAAAATGGAGTCCTTTGTTCTGACAGCTTATAATCTGGTATAACCCTTACCTGTTTTTTGACTCGCTGGAGCCCATTTTGACCGTTGTCTAATGACTGACCACACGTTGGCTGAATATCACCGTTTTACAGAGTATTGTGTAGAATAATCGCGTTTTGATAACTATTTTTACGAAAAAAATGCGGGAACCACTGATTATGCTATCTCGACATTACTGCTCTGAGTTGATGACTCACTGGCTTCCTTCCTTTTTCTAACTTTGCCGTGCCGTGAAAATGTTCCGAGAGGCAGACAGTCACTATATATAGAATAATAATAAACTTATTATTATTATTATCCTCAGCTGATAATGCAGAGGTCTGAAAAACTTCTACTGTGATCATCAGCTGTTGCTCAATTTTTTATCTAAGCCAACACGTGGGGCACGTTGGTCAAACAAATTTAACCCGCCGTTATTGTTGTTTCCCAAAAGTGATGAAAAATAATTTAATTCCAAAACGAGGTGAATTACTGATGACTGATGTGTTACATTAATTTTTAATAATGAAATAAATTATGCTCTTAAAGTTTGTCATTCGGTGTTGTCGTAAATACCAGCGAGATTTCAAGTGGAAATACCGAACAGAGTTTCGTAGTTTTCATAATGAAGTGAGTTCCGGCTTATCACCAGCCTCATCGGGAAGTATAAAAACGACCTTGAGACAGCACAATGTTAATTTTCAAGAGGGACATGCTTGTATTGTTATCAACTGTCCCATTTGTGATAGTGGTAAACAAAATGATGCAAAATTGTACATAAACAAGACGACAGGTGAGAACATGTTGCAAATTTGAAGAGTAATTTTACAATTACAATTTGATTTGATAATAGATAGATTGTTACTAAATGTTTTGAACTATAATGTGATATTTTTGATATCTACGCTATTAGCTCAGAAAACGTGATTTGGGAAGGTAATGTCAGGAGAAGTTTTGAATTAGTAATAATTTTCTACTGTATTTTATTTTTCAGGCTTGTTCGTTTGTCCCAACTGTAGACATACAGGTCCCTGGGACGTTTTATCCCGTGTGATCGGGCCAAAGAAATCTGCAAAGACCGTAGATTTGAAAGCGATAAAACAAACTCTTCATATTGAAGAGGACTTCTCAGGAAAATGGACGAGTTTAGTTGAATCCTGTCAAAATATTTCTGAGCTATCTGAGGATAGTTATAATAATTTAATCACGAATTATGCCTTTCCAAAGGTTACACAAAGTCAGATGAGCCAACTGGGCTGTTATTATAAGGATGTTTTGTCATCTTTTTATTTCCCTTTGATAACGATTGGAAATAAAATTGCTGGATACAAATGCTTATCAATCAGTCCAGTTCTAAATGAGAAAACTGTACCAAGTATCAGTGCCAATGGTTTGATAATTTATAAAGAAAGAAAGGCAAAAACTGACGGAACAGCAGTTGTCGTTCCCTCAGTAGAGGATTTACTGGCCTTAATAGCTGAAAGATCAGCCAACACTGTAATTTGCCTTCCTTACGGCCTTCAGCATCTGCCTCTTCAGATTTTACCAATCCTTGAACCATTTAAAAAATTAATACTCTGGTTTGATAACGATTCCACCAGCTGGGACTCAGCGAGACACTTTGCGAAAAAATTGAACGAAAAGAGATGTTTTTTTGTGAGGCCAACGAATCATCAGCCCAGGCCTAAGGTGGCTGCAGTTAGGGGATATAATTTGAAGAATATCATTCAGGAAGCACAGCCCATTTGGCATAAAAGTATTACTACCTTTCATAGCTTGAGAGAAGATATCTTGAGTGATCTGCAGAATATTGATAAAGTCCAGGGAGTCAAGTGGAATAGGTATCCAACATTGAATAGAATTCTGAAGGGACATAGAAGAGGAGAGTTCACGGTTCTAACTGGTCCAACAGGTGAATATTACGTTTTTTATTCTAGATAAATTGAAGTATTCTGGAATAAAATAACTCGGGGGAATTAGGGGAGAGTGGGGCAAAATGAAACAATCGAAAATAGGACTATTTAACGCAATTCAAGCAAAAATAAATTTCAACTATTTTTTTTATCAACTTTTTTTTCATTATTGGAAGTACTGATTGGAATAATAATCTTCCATTTAATAGAATGAAAAATTATTGAGCAGTTTTGACGGGAAAAGATTTTGTCAATGGATTAATTGAAAAGAAAGTGAAACAGCAAAATCCAAAGCCCCAGGGAAGGCCCTGGAGGAGACCCAGATTGGGAAAAAGGAAAATGTGATACTGAATTTCAATCGAATGAAAGAAAAAGTGTAATCAGCCTAATCTAATCAATTGAATTGTAATCAATTGAATTATAAGACGAATAAAACATTATTCTCATCAGAACTCCCAATAATAAAAAAAAAATGAACAAAAGTTGATAAAAAAAATTTTTTTTTGCTTGAATTGCGTCAAGTAGTCGTTTTTCAGCTGTTTCATTTTGCCCTATTCAAAAAGATATATCTCGATATATATCTCCTGAATTTTGGGATATGAAAACGGCTAATTCGGGCAAAATCTTACTAAATATGGTTTACGTAATAATACTCTGTTATATACAGACAGAAATTCCCACAGGCTCAGTGAATTTATTTTTATATGTACATAAAAGCGATCCTAAAATGTTTCAAACAATTGTTCCATAGTTTAGAACGTTTGATAACCATTAAATATCAAGTGTGAATTGAAAACAAAATAAATAGGGAGGAAGTTGCAAAACTAATTGTCATTCGACTCGCAAAATTTAATGGGAGTTTACCGGAAAGAAAATGGCGCTACTTTTTTAATTTTAGCTGAAATAGTTCTTCCTTGTGGGAAGAATTAAGTTGTTCCTTTTTCAACCATACCATTGAGTTAGATCGATTTTTAATTCTGCGATATACCTTTATGAATCATCCTACCGAATTGTACCTCTTCATCAAGGACACATTGAAGCAGAAAGTGAATATACTGAGAAAATAAATATTTTTGCTAAGTATCCATTTATTTGAGAGAAGTATTCATCTTTTTAATACCGTATTTCTCCAGTCGAGTCATTCCCAGACCATTCTCATTACGTTTCATAAAATAAGAAATTTCAAAAAACGGAATAATCATTGACCGAGTTCGTTCAACGTCATGTGCAACATAGTCCTCCTCTGGGGCAACATGTTTGTCATAGTTGAAACCTAATTAGACTCACGTGAGAGTGACTCGATTGGAGAAATAGGATTTTGAAAAAATAAATGCTTCTCTCAAGTAAATGAATATTCAGCAAAATTTTTTTTTTCTCAGTGTATTTCCAGTCATTCAAATGCTAGGACTTGTTCAAAATAATTTTCTTTTCAGGCTCAGGAAAAACAACTTTCATCAGTGAATATTCACTGGACCTTGCAATGCAAGGTGTCAACACCCTTTGGGGTAGCTTTGAAATCAGAAATACAAGACTGGCGAGAACCATGCTCCAGCAAATGGCTGGAGTGTCACTGGAGGAGAATCTTCAGGATTTTAATACTTATGCAGATGCATTTGAGAAGCTCCCATTATATTTTATGACATTCCACGGCCAGCAAAACTTAGCAATAGTGATGGAGGCAGTGGAGCACGCAACGTATGTTCACGACATAGCACACGTCATCATTGACAACGTTCAGTTTATGATGGGAATGTCAGAGTCCTCGAAACACCTCGACAGGTACTGGAGGCAAGACGTCATTGTCTCGGCCTTTCGATCCTTTGCTACGAAAAATAATTGCCATGTTACTTTAGTCATCCATCCGAGGAAAGAACGCGTGGAGGAGGATTTGACCACAGCCTCGATATTCGGAGGAGCTAAAGCCAGCCAGGAAGCTGATAATATCCTCATCATTCAGGATAAAAGACTGACGAGTCTCAGGGGTAAAAAGTACCTGCAAATTGCCAAAAATCGATATAGCGGAGACCTGGGGGTCATGATGATGGACTTCGATAAGGCTAGTCTCAGTTATCAGCAGAAGAAGAAAAGCAAAAGTGAAGAGCCTGTAGGCGAGGGAAAAGATAAACAATTTAAGGAAAATAGATGACAGTGATTGTCCAATCATGAATGATATTTCAAATATTTTATGAAAACTCAATTTTGTACAATTGAACTTCAGAAAATCCATACCTTTGGATTTATAACTTCGTTACTCCTTTCTTCAATCTTGCAATTGGATTTTCCATACACAAAGTTATTGAAACATTGAATTAGATGTCAACAAAGTTTATGAACCAGTGTGATAATATATTTTCGGATAATGAATCTTGCAATTATATCCTGAAAATTCTGCCTTTATGTGTTTGTGAATAATCCATCAATTCAAATCAATACCTAAAAACTTTTAATTATTGATTCATATCTCCAAAAAAAAAGTACTGATTCAAGTCGACGTCGGTTTGATTCTAACCGATTTTTGACTTGATTCAGACCGATTGACTCGGACTAGGCCAATCCGCATTCCGGGTCTGATATATGTCGAAAAGTGGTTTATTTCAAGTAGAAACGGGTCCAGCCGATATCGGTTTGAATTACGCCGAAAAATCGACCTGAAACAAGTCGATTCCCGGCATGATTCAGTCCGACTTGATTCAGATCGATTTTTTTTGGGTGTAGTTTTACAAAAAATGTAATGAAAAGTACAAAAGATTCGATAATCGGAATTTTTTTTGACTGTTTTATCGACTGCGATAAGTAGATTTATTCCTATGAGAGAATGATGTTTCTCCTCTCGATCGACCATGAAAAATAAATTCTTCGTGTATAAAAAAAAGACCAATAGAATACGCTGTTTGTTTCCTGCGATTACGCGTTTTATTACTCAGGAGTCGTGGTGTTTGACAGTAAAATTTATCGTGAATTGGGGACGCTATAAATCGCTGCGATGTCTGGTGGATATCGCCTGCACTAAAAAAAATGGCCGTCCGATGGTTTATCGTTGGTACTTCAATCAATTACTTTGCAAATCCTCAAGTTTTTCTAAAATATGACACCATCGGAACTTCGAGTACAACAATTAAAAACAATATAGACATGAATGAGTCGAAGCGGAACTACTACTGTCAGCTACAATGTGAGGGTTTGAACAAGTTTGAACGAGTAAACCATCGGTCGTCCATGTTATGAGGGCGATCACCACGCCACCATCGGTAAATAACGGTCCCAATACGTGTCCTCAATCATCAGTTTTCCAAGATGACCTACGTTTCTGGAGGTAAGATTTTCCATTATTCACTTTCAACAATATGTTTGGTGCTTGACAATCAGCTATTTATTGACTCTTCTGCGATTGTTTTGTAATTTTTTTCAGACGGAACTATTAGTGCAATTCAGCCATGGAGCATAACTCGCATTTTTGGATTCTTCTCTGGAATATTCTGGGCCATTGCGATGTTGTGAGTAACCCGCATGGATTATATTTACTCAATTTGTTATGATCAGATGAAAGGATTACTAATAATTTTATTATTCTATTGGTTTATGTTTAGTTTCAATACATTAATCAGTCCGAATACCACTAAGTATGGTACAGGATACAGCAGAAACTACAGGCCAGGCTCGGGAGGTTCTGGGTAAGATCTTTAAACAACACTTTACGTTTAGAGTTACAACAAAATGATGTCATGTAAGGTATTCCATGTAAAATCGATCAACCCCTGACCCTCACACTCTCGAAAGTGTATCTTCTAATTTTTTATGTATGGAAGATATGATAGTTTTTCAATTTATCAAACACAAAAATACTTCCTTCCCCGTCAATTGTGAGAACTTGCACGATGCAATTCCTTTTTAAATCCCTAGATAAATTGAAAAACAAGCAAAGTTTCGAGCCTGTCCGACAGAAGGCATGTGACCCTTACTTTTTGCGTTATTAGTCTTTTTCTTTTTTTCTTCCGAATGGAAGCCTTGTTTTTGACCAATTTTTTGATACTATAATTTTGATTGCAAATGGTCTCGAATATTATGAAAGCTGAAGAAATGATGTTCTTAGGATCATGTCTGTGTGTATGTATCCGACAACTTGGGTTTTTGGTGATTCATTTTTAGAAAATTCAACATAAATACAGTGAAATTTGAAGATAAAAGACTGAAATTTTGGCTCATTGTAGCTATTATTAAGCTCCACTTTGACGCGCCCTTTCAGCCCGATCGGTCCAGTAGTTCTTGAGACAACTTGTTTAAATCTGGTTTTTCCTCACTATCTCAAAAATTACTGCATCGATTTCAAAAATTTTTCTTCAAAATACTCGTCTTGATGGCCTCTATGTAAGTCAATCAGAATATATAGATTCTTGAATAGACAATTTGAAGATGTTACCGTTTTTCCGTTTTTATGAAAAATCTTGTATGCACGATAACTTGAAAAAAGGAGCTAGCAAGTTGAAATTTGGTATGATCCTAGCTCTTATAATAATGAAGGTTGGTTTTTTCGATGGGCGCAATCGGCCACGCGGTTACTGAGATATGCAACCTTTTGTGTAAATATTTTTTGTTAAATATCTCACAAACTACTCAATGAATTTGATTTTTTTTTCAAAATATCCGCCTCAACGGCTTCTGTCTAGATCAATCAAAATATCTATATCCATTCACATACAAAATTTTCAAGATATTGCCGTTTTTCGTTTTTTTAATTTTTTCATGCTTCTACGCACGATAACTTGACAAAAAATTAAGATAACAAGTTGAGATTTGGTATGATTATAGCTCTTACAATATTAGTGGTTGGTATTTTGGATCGGCGCAATCGGACCAGAAATTTCGGAGATATTTAACCTTTCGTATAAATCTATTTCATTAAAAGGTTGAATATTTTCCTGTAGCATATGGTTGTGGTTGTATGCCTGTCCCAAGGATAGGGAATTGCTACGGATCCATTCGAAAGCTTACTACCAATGGAATTGGTGGAAATAAGAAAAGAAAGAGACTAATGACGCAAAAAGTAATGGTCACATGCCTTCTGTCGGATAGACTCGAACCCCTACTTCTTTTTATTTCTACGAATTCAATTGGTAGTAAGCTTCAGAATGGATTCATAGCAATTTCCTATCCCTGTAATAGGTCTTATCGCCAAATTTTACCGTCTTTATGTCACATTTTCTAAAAAGGAATCACCTAAAAACGAAATTGTTACACACATACGTACAGACATGTTGTTAAAAATATCATCTTTTCACGTTTCATAACATTCTATCTCATTTCCGAACAAAATTAAAAAGTGTTTTAAAAAATTGGAAAACATACATTTTAATAATTACATTCCGTTTTATTCGTTGCATTTTTTCCTTCACATCTCTCAATTAGAACAAGTGCTATAACAAGATCTTTTCAATTCTTTCGTTCAGAATTTTCCAATTTTTTGTGTAAATCTCTGGAAAGTCAGATATTAATAATAATTTCACACCTTTTTTAGGTGTATAAAGAATATTATCTATAGACTTCGTAAAGGTTTTCAACAAAAAACTTGTAAATTTAGAGCGTAAAGAGTAAAATAAAAATAAAATAGATCCAGGATGTTGCTCAACATCGTTTATGACTGAAAACACTTGTTTTGATTTCGCTAATTGAATTAACAATTAGGGGATAGGTTTTAAGCCCCTCAAGCCTGTGCAAAATTTCCCTTCGCTTTGGAGAAGGTAGAGACTCACGGGTTGACTGGTTTGACATGTAGATTTTAGTAACGAGAAGAGAAATTTCATGCGTTCGACCTGAATTACGACTTATTTTGTGAAATTCGTCAAACTAAAAAAGTTTAAACTACTTTATCAGCGGAATCCTGTCGTAGAGTTTCGCAAACTATAGCTATATACAGTTATATATGAGACATTTCTATCGGTTTTTCTAATTTATCTTCTCTTACTCCCATAGAGAAGCAAAATCGGCACTTTTACGCTTTTAAGGGGATACGTCGGTGAAATTTAAGTTTTACTTTATTCGCAATAGATCATGAATAAATGATTTTTGAATTACATAAATTTTTCGTGTCTCAAGAGTAGAGTAAAATTTATGAAATTCAGAATTCATTTATTCATGATCTATTGCGAATAAAGTAAAACGGATGTTTAACTTTATTCTTTGGAGTATAACGAACATTAAAAAAAAAGCTAAAATCGTATGGAAACTATGGCGCAAGGAGCATTTTGAAGGTAAAAACAGGAAAAAATGACGTTTTTCGTAACTATACGTGTCAAGTCGATCGGATCCGCGTTTTTCCTTAGTTATTCTCATATTTCGTTATATATCACAAACTGTTCAATGGTTCCCAAGGCCCAGTGAACACTTCAATTTCACCGACGTATACCCTTTGTTCATAACTAAGGAATAAGTAAATCAATTGGGCCGATTTTTAACATAAACTCATAATTATTACAGTCCACCACCTCCTCCCTCAAAAAAATTTGGAGGCATCAACACAAAGGGAACCATGAACATGCCCGGTGGATGCAGTAGCTGCAGGGGAGGCTGAAGTAAGATAACTCTTGTAACCATTAAATTTTTTGGTGAGCCAAATAGCCACTTACTCATCTTTAATCTGCCATAAATCAGCACAAGAGGATCCAAGACCCACTACAATTTTTCCCTCCCACCTGATCAAATGGACAAACTTTATTTTTCGCATTTGTTAGAGGTAAAAATATTATATATAAAATGAAGAAAGATGAAACCATTGTTTGATTGGTGAATTTTCTTATATTTATGATCAGAATAATGATGTAATTAATTTACAAGTTTTTGAGACTCGAATTATTGACAAATCATGAAGAATATATTTTGATTGCGATATGAAAGCTTATTAAGACGTATTTACTTAAAGACCTTCACTTGATTTTTGTCACTAGCCCAGCAGCAATTGTCGTTCCAGCTACCCTGAGCATAACTCGCCCAAGTTGCTTAACGTCTCTGTACAGCTCCAAACAAATTGGTTGGTTCGTTTTAATTTCAATGATTGCACTTGAATTTTTGGGTAAACATCTGGGTCTTTTTTTCGCCACTTCACCACTACTTTTATGCAGTTGTGCAATTAATTTTGTGATAACAGCTGGCTGCACGAGAGATTGAACGTGGAGAACCACTGGAAGGCCCTTGGTAATAGGAATTGCGACTGTGAAAATAACTACGTGAACTTGGAAACATGTTGTCACGGGAACTGGCTTCGATGGAGTACAAATTACATCTCCAACTGCTACGTTCTGTTGATCTATTCCAGTTAGAGTGAGAGAAACGTGGTCACCTGCGAAGGCGTTGGTTGTCGATAGTTCATCGATTTGCATTCCTAAAATTCATTAATTCTCAATAATCAATCGGTTAAATGTGCAGATCAGTTTCAATGTTTCGTACAGATCATTTCGGGAATATTTAGAAAGCAGTTTGGTGTCAGTAATCATCATGATTATTTCGCCGACAAAATTAGATTGAGAAAAAAAATTCATAGGTGAATTCTTTGTGTGGTTCATAAAATCGAACATATCCACAAATTATCTACAAATCTGGTGCAGCCTCATTCCCGTTAGGTCACGATAAAATAGTTCTTGAATTGAAAAAGAAAAATCATGGAACCTTTAACTACAGCAATCTCATTGTGAGGTGACACGAGAACTTTGTCTCCAGCAGCCACCATTCCAGTCTCCACATGTCCTGAGACACAGAAATTTGATCCTGTGCCTTTGAAAATATCGTTAACGGAGAAACGGAAGGGCTTGTTTACTGGTCGTTCAGGGCATTTGAAATTGTCAATCACTGAGAGAAGAGTTGGACCTGTGTACCTGAAAATCGTATTACAGATCAATCAACTATTGTCTATTGAAAATTTTTGTTCACTTACCAACTAGAGAGTTCTTCTGCTTTAGGGGGCATGACGATATTCTCTCCAGATAGTCCACTGCAGGGTACGAACGTAACTCTGTCCTTATACCCAGCTTGTTTCAAAAAAATACTCATTTTATCAACAATTTCATTGAATCTATCTTTTGACCAGTCTACTGTATCCAACTTATTGACTACTACTGCCAATTCTGAAACACCTATGAACAAAAAAAAACTTGAATGAATAAAGGAACGATAATTCTAGTTATAAAAAAAGAAGAATGTTTGAGTTGTACATCAAATTTGTATTGATTATATTAGGTATTTATTTTGAGAAAACGTTTCTTCATATCCTCCCCTCAGATGACTCATCAACGAAATAATGGTACAATTTCATGAATTCATTGAAAAAAAATATTATGATATCATCAATCCACTGAGTTACTAAGATATATTATTTATGGAAAATTGCTTCACCTTTAAGGAGAGACTACTATGAGAGTTGAGTCGCGGGGTTTTGGAATGAGATTTCTCATACATTGAACATCGATTATATGTCTAAAAACGAATAATTAGTGCAAAAAAAAACAAATTGTTTATTGTTAGTTTTCCCTGCAGACGCTTAAAATGTTAAAAATAGTCCAGGGCCTCCAATTTTTGAAATACAGAGATTTTTTTTTCAAAATTGTTGGAAAAATATGTGCAATAACAATTACGAATTAGTTTTTTGAAACTGAACTCCTACACAGCTAATTTCCTTATTATTTCAATGAAAAATTGCACCATTCATGTGAAAAGGCCCGAAAAATATTTCTGAAAGAATCGAGAATATCTTTAAAATATTTTAAGGATAATTTTTCCGCCTGTTTTACATGAATGGCGCAAATTTTTATATTAAACAAAACGAAATTAGCTGTGTAGGAGTCGAATTTCAAAAAAATAATTCGTAATTGTTATTGCACACATTTTTTCAAAAATTTTGAAAAAAAAAACCTCTGTAGCTCAAAATTTGGAGGCCCTGGGCAATTTTTAACATTTTAAGCGTCTCCGGAGCAAATGAACAATAAACAATTAATTTTTTTGCACTAATTCTTCGTTTTTTGACATATATAATCGATCTTTAATGCATGAGAAATCTCACTCCAATATTCCACGACTTTTAAAGCTCGTAGTAGTCTCCCCTTAAAAGATACGGGGAGCTGGTATAAAACTGAAATCTGCAATCGTGAATATCGCTTCCACAAGTAGAACAACTTGCATAAATTGGGTTTCTTTATCTTGACAAATCGTGAAATTTCATTCCGCTATTCTGAAGTTGTTGACAATTGAAGATGCTCCATTTTACTCCACTCTCCCTTATTTTCCTATTTTACCATAGAATTATTGCTTCTCGAGATAGATGCATGGAAAATGAAGATTTTACACCTTACTTGCATTTTTTAATGAGTTCCTGAATATTTACCTAATGAACGTAGAAGCAAAGCATGTTCCCTCGTCTGTCCGCCGCTCTCAAATCCAGTCTCAAACTCCCCCCTCGTCGCATCAACAACTAAAAGTGCTACATCAGCCTGCGTAGCTCCAGTGATCATATTAGGAATGAAATCTTTGTGTCCAGGAGCATCAAGGAGCGTCACCGATTTGGTATCAGTCTCAAACTTAGAGTAGCCAATATCCATTGTGATCCCTCTTTCCCGTTCCTCTCCAGTCTCGTCCAGCACCCAAGCATAAGCAAAGCTTTGCTTTCCGATTTTCTTGCTCTCCTGCTGATACTTGTGAATCAATTTAGAAGACACCTGTCCTAGATCGCACAACAATCTGCCCAGAAGAGTACTCTTCCCTGCGTCCACGTGACCCACAACAACAAGATGCAACTGCTCCTTAGAATCCCCTCGTTTTTTTTTGTAAATCAACACAACGTCCCGCTTGTCTTCTAGAGTTTTTCCTCGAATCTCTGTATCTGGAGTTGCACGTCCAGATCCCACTCCCATTGGGGATTGACACCTTGGAGTTGTTGATGTTAAAAGTTCTAATCGTTTGTTGCTGTCATCCTTACGGCGGGGATTAGGCGAGTGTGGCAATGACGCTGGACTTTGGGACCTTGGTGTTTCAATTCGAGGCGAAAGAAATTCATGGCTTTCCGCACTCAGGTTAAAGCCTTTTATCACGGTTTTGGTCGCTGCTGGCACCACTTTTATGGTTGATGGGACTGACACTTGCAGCACTGGCTTCATTGCTTTGACACCTAATTTATTACTCTGCTGTTAATACTATTGCTAATATGAAAGCTATATAGCGGGAAGAATGCACGAAATGAAAAATGAGCGGGGCATAATCTGCAAATACATTTGGTCTCAATTCATCAGCTACTGTTCATCGTCACACGGCTGGATCATGATGCAATCATCAAGATAAGATCATTAAAAATTTCAAATCCAACATTTTTAGAAAGAAAAAACGTTCCAAAGGGGTTTTCCAATTGTTAAATATCAGAAAATTTATTCAATTATAAAATCAAAATTAAAATGAATACGACAATGGTACAAGCACAAGAAGTCTGCAGCGTGTGGAAAAATATTATTATAAAATTGGCCGACCGTCACTGATCGAAGTTAATTACAATAATTTACACGTTAGGGTGAACTGCCCAGTAGATGGACGCCTAAGAAAACCGTCCAGTAGATGGACGTTTGTTTTTTTAGCAATTGAAAAAAAAATTGATCGAAAAAAAATCGTCACTCAGGGGTTAAGAATCACAACAGTTAGTGAAAATTCAAAGCAACAATTCACATTTCGGTATTTTTTTGCGTAATTTCCTATTCAAAAGTAGCTCCTCCATCTATAGGGCAGTGTCCATCTACTGGGTAGCTTACCCTACCTCAAATTCCTATAAGCACATCACTTCCTTCTTAAATTAGTCAGAATCAAATTATCAGGGGATGGAGATGTGAAATCGAAAGTTTTAAGATTGTTATGAACCTCGAGCTGAGATTTGACATATGGCTTTCTCGATCGCCACCTTCTGCACAACATTTTACCAAATAAAGAGACTGACTCACTGGCATGTGACAATTTTGTGAATTGAAGCCTACTCAAATTAATTTCACACTGTTTTAACATATCTAAACTTTCCACCATCATTGAGGACGGCAATGGTTCTGCTGTCATTATGTAAATGTCTTTGAGATCGTATTTGTTTAATTGTTCAGGGTTCTTTTTCGCAGTGATTGATAAAATTTTTGTTTGCCTTAATGCTGTTGTCAAATCAATTAAAAATTCATTTCCTGTTTCTTCGGTAAGATTATCTTTCGAATCATCTTCAGCATTATTAACTTCTTCCCCTGGGATGTCAATTTCTGGAGATATTTGCATATGAACTAGCTCTTTTGCCAAGGTCTGAACACTTTCATCAACATTTTTCTTTTTCTCTACTCCGAGTTTGACATTGAGCGAAGAAATCGCAGGAATTGAATCGTTGGACTTTAATGAAAGCTTTGGAATAACAAAGTTTGAAGTTCGGCCCGGAGAATTCCTTGAATTTTGCAAATGACTTTGAGTTAAATCTGCCAAAGTGCCAAAGGGTTTTTTATCTATTCTCAGAGTAGAATCTGCATTCTTCTGGGAGTGATTAGCTATCAGTGCAGATAGGGAAGAGAATTTCAATTCAGGCTGGACTTCTGTGCATTTTATTGCTCCAAATTTAAAGGGACTCTCGCAATTTTTAACACTGAATGGATCTTTGAATGGAGAAATTTTGTGTGGTATGAGCGAAATTTTGGGTTGAGGGCCAAAGGGATTTTTGAAGTGCGAATGTGATCCTGAGGAACCTTACCTTACACGATCAAATAAACATGAAACACAAAAATAACAAAATCTATATTAATCAAAAATACAAATAAAAGGAATTGAATTCAATATTGAAGTGGTAAAACTCCCAGAAAAGACGCATTACGCATTAGAATCACATGAAAATTTTTGCTTGATAGAAATACTGGTCCACCTGGAAGTTTCAACACAATTCCCTGACTTTCCCCTGACTTTTTCCGGTCAAATTGATGAAATTCCCTGAGCATAGAAAACTTTTTTTTTTTTAATGAAAGAATGTTAAATTTATAGACTCTAACGTGAAAAGCGTAGTAGGACGCTTTAGTGGAGACACTGGCATTCCGTTTTAAAGGCCATAGAGTGGGGATATTGAAATTCACCTTAAATGGTTAAAGCAGTTGATAATCAATGAGCAATAGATGGGTCCATGCACATTAACTCATTTACCGAACGAAATTGCAAGGCAAATGTCGGTAAAATAAAATTACCTTTGATTGGCGAAAAGACCCATCATTTTCAAAATTTTCCTTGGATCATAATTTTCATCCAATTCAGATTTTTTTTTCAATGTTCATCAGGCTTCAAAGAATAAAATTGAGTATTCGTTTTCCATCTCATAGAATGGATTGAGAAAAAATGAAACTTTTAAATTTAGTCTGTCTGCACCACTCGATTTTTTTGACACTATGCAAGAACAAATAAAAAAGAGTGCATTGAAAGAAATTTTTTTTTCATGGGCTATTATCCATAATTTATGACGCAAAATGGGTACTTAATTTAACTTTCTAGAGTCTAACGAAAATTGTCGAATAGAAAAATCTACATCGGATAAAAATTGCCCAATAAAGAAAGTATGGCTGAGGGAATTTTCAAAGACTTTTAAATTTCAGAGAGGTCTCCCCTTACGAGGTGATCACTCTGTCAACTTTTCAACAAAAATACGGACCAGGTTGGAACTCTCGGTGTTTTTGCAGTTTGTATATTGCTGGAAATGAGTATTTTTCAAATATTTCCACCATCTTGATATGCAAGAATTCCTTTGAAAAGTGGAATGCTGAATTCATAATTTTCCATAGAAAAACAGCAAAAACAGTGGGTTCCCAGTCTCATCCCATGGGAAGATGTTAACATCCCAGTTTTCTAAGTAAATTAGAGGTCAAATTGCAAGACAATGTTTTTTATCAACAGAAGAATTCCCAAAAATTTAGGTACTTAGAGAAGACAAGCATCAAATTTTTAAATTCAAGAAAGTTGTCGTAATTCCCTGAATTTTTCCTGATATTTCCAAACCAATCGAATTTCGTGACAATTCCCGGTTTTCCAGATTTCCCTGACCGTTGGACACAGCTATACTTAATGATTTGATTCAAATAATATTTATTTCATTGGAATGAATCATTTATCTGGTGAAATGATATCAATTCATTGAGTTTGCCACTTCAATACAACTGAATACGATTGATTCTCATAAAAAAATCTTACCTGTTTGTGAGTCCAGCCGGTCCTTCACCATTGCTGCTGCTAAAGAACGAATTCAATTGACTGAGTAATATTCACTCAACAGTAATGAATATGATTGATAATTCATTAACCACTCACGAAATTCATTTTTCTGGGGTGTGGCCTTCAAAATTTCATCAAGAGCGACTTCAGCATTGAAATCAGCCTTGATGATTTTCTCTGTAAGGTCTGCGTCAGATATTGAGTCGCCAATGACATTTCTAATCACTTCAATACACGATACAAGTTTTGCAGTGTCGATTTCAGAGAGTTCAGGCTTTTTTGGAATTCCACAAGCTTCCTCGTCCTCTTCGTTGTCTTCTTTAATATCTGGTTCGGTGAAAAAGGCAGCAATATTCTGTTGCTTGTTACGATCGAACATAAATTGTTCGGCTGGAAAGAAACGTCACACTCATACTTAATTTTCTGCAATGCTCCAAATGACCGTAGAATTTCCATGTAGGCCTTTTCATTTTAGAGCCATTAGCTTTTCAGGAATTTTCAACGAATTAAACCAAACAAATATTATCTTGTATATCGAATATAGTTAAACAAATATTATCATGGATAATACTAGTCAATGCTGAAAATTCTAAAATATTCAAAAACATTATCGAAGCACCTGGGGATCATAAATCGTGTAAGAATCTCTATAAATCTGTAATTGAAAAGTTTTCTGGAATTTTTTAAGAGCTGCACAATCTTTTGGGATATAAAAAATTTTAAAAATTTTAAAAATTTTAAAAATTTTAATTTTAATTTTAAAAAATTTTGGGATTATAAAAAAATAATATTTTTGAGGGTTTCTAGATGAATTTCTATCGGGTGTGGGTCAATCTACCACTCTTTAGAACTTTTCGTGATTTTTCGAAGGAATAAAGTTTAAAAAATGTGAATACTCATCAGAATTTTTCATAATATACTTCTAAAATTTCTAGTTCGGGAAACAGAATAAATACTTCCTCTAGATTTGTAAATTAAAACACCTATAGATTCTCTCGCAATAACCTGTCCATCAAATTAATGAATAAACTGTTAAAAAGAATGAACATATACCACCTGATATAACAAACCAATAGGAGATGTAAATATTAATGTACCAATTTTTATAAAGTCGCTAAGGACCTAGTTGTTGATGCGACTTTAAATAAAATTTTTAAAAAATTAATGAATTTATGAAGAAATGTCAATAAATCATTATTGTTGGCTGTTAAAGCTTCCTACATATTAACATGATCTCCTTTTTTTAGAAACTTATGATGCAATTTATTTGACGAACCTTTTCAAAATGAATGCGTTCGTTGTGTATATGGGGACATTGCATGTTAACTCAGATACACCAATTTTTTTTTGTCTCCAAAAAATTATTAAATACTATCATTTTGAAGTACAATACATTAGAAGAAAATACCTAAAATTTTTTTCCCCTCACCATCGATGGTTTTCGAGATAATTCGCATCAAACTTAGAATTGTCAAAAAATCATAACTTTTGAACGGCGCATCGGAGTTAAATTAATAAAAAACGAATTTTTTTTTGCAGTTCACTTTTCGAAAAAAAATATAACAGAGCTTTTGGAGTTGTTCTTAGCAGGTTTTTTGGAAAAAAAATCCGTTCCAATTTTTTTCATAAAGAGGGCCGTTTGATATTCGATGCAAATTTTTTTTTTCAGATAGAGAATATGTATATGTAACTCCGATTTTTTTTCAAGATGAAACACAGCGTTAGTAACCGGGATTATTATTTTTTCTTTCAACTTTCGTTTTTTTGCGATTTTTTCAAGCATCTGTGTGATTATTCCCAAGAAAAGGTGAAGTTGATCAATTTTATCATTCGTTGGGAGTAAGGGAATTGTCGACAAAGCTTTCAATGATTTCAAAGCGGTGGAAATTCTTCTGATGGCACAAAAATGGTATTTAATTGATTGGAGAAAATTTTCTATTATCATTTCACTATGCAATGTGTTTAATTTGTTGCTAGAAACTTACCACTGGGAGATACGCAGTAATCATCTTCCACAGAATGGCCATAAACATCATCGTAACCATCATACTCTAGAAAACGTCAGAAAATTCATGCGTCACTCACAATATGGAAAATAAGAAAAATAATTGTTATCCTAACAATGGTTGATAATGTTGCGACGGACTGAGCAATATTTTCACCCTAACCTCTCTCCATTTATAAAATAAAATTGATTTACTCACCGTCGGAGTATTTCATAGTCCGTACATCTCGATGCCGCGACATTTTTTATCAGATTTATTCTGTCTCGTCCTCTTTATTTATAAATGATCGAATCCGAAACATTCGTTCAGAATGGAGCACCACACAGCTGGAGAGCACAAAACTTTTGTCTGCTTTTGTCCTTTTTGACACCTGATGGAAACACTTAGGCCAAACGATTGTGGTGTGGGGGAGGGGAGGATTGAATTTTGTAAAGCTGAAACAGATGGCAGCAGATAGCTACGTACTTCATTTGCCAAATGCATTCAACAAAAAATGGTCTGACAAATGCTATCCTTGTCTGATTCATAGGAAATTCTTTGGCCACGTGACCCCAGTAGTACGTGAAGTCGCCAAAAAACTTCCTTAATCATGGACACATGCCCTCGATTGGGATCATTATCTTCCAATTCTAACCCTTGAAGTGCTCAACGACAGAAATATAATAGTTATCAAGAGCAATTGAATATCTACTATCAAAATGTCGACTCGCTATTTGCGAAAAGTCTACGGTGAGACTGTGATTTCCAAGGAAAATCACGAAGATGCAAGTGACAATGAACTTCCAATCGTCAGCGATAAACAACTGAAGCAGTTCAATATGTTCAATTTGGTAAATATCCTACATTACTTGGGATCACTTCACAATCTCGTTGAAAAAGCGATGAAACCTTTTCAATTGGCATATCATATATCTACATATTTTTACGAAATTATTGTTGTTTATGAGTGATTTTGAGAAATGGTGTTTCGTTCATGCCATGAAACCAATCTCTTTACATTTGGTCCTAAGAAATACTAATTTTTTCAAAAATTAGCAAAACACATTCAACAAAAAAGCACGTTCAGGCACTTAAAAATTCTATTGGTTTTTGTACTTGACTTTTAACGGAAATACCGCAGCTTTTCCGTGCGTTTATTTCTATAAAAAAAGTCAATAGGCTTTGATTTTTCTAAACTCATTCGCCAATAAGTAGTATGCAAAGAAAAATCACAATCCTAAGATAATAGTTTCATGGATATTCGTAAAATAGTTTGTATCGAATTTTCAAATTTCCATTCACACTGAAGCCCATTTTTTGAAAAACATGAGATAAATTGTTATGCTGCGTATATTCTAAACTATCAGAAAGCTTCTTAGAAATTTTTTCGTGTACCTACCTTATCGTTGAACATTTTACAGCATCTATTAACTAAGAACTATTAACTACATAATTTATACATTATTTTTAAATTCCTGCCCAATTTTGTTTCCCAAAACATAATAAACAGTAAAAATATTGATTTCATGATTTCTAGCATATAGGAGTATGAATCTGTGATATGCGCCAAAAATTCAGTTTTTATAATATCAATTGAAAATCTAGCATTTACGCCGCATTTAAACCCTTCCCTCCAATGAACCGGAAATTTGCAGAAAATAATGTTCAATTACGGATATCTTGTGAGAGAACTGGGCAATTTGAAAATTTCAAATTTTGTTCCGTCAAGCGTGAAGAAATTCAATTGAGATGATGGCTGAAGATGTGAATATATAGAATGGAATAGAATATATGTGAATATATGGATTAGAAGGTAATTTTTTCAGAAGTAATGGAGGAAAACCATTAACGTGGCATATCCGCTGTGGAACAATTAATCTTTGCCAGAACGTACAATATATCTGAATAGCTCATTTAAAAAAAAAACACAAAAATATTTGATAAATTGAAAAATTCAACGGACGATATTTTCTAGGGAGATCCATAGAGATTAACTAAAAACAGATTGAACATTACATTGTTACAAGAACTCAACATGAAGATTCTCTGAAAAGATTTTTGTCCATTTTCTCTCAGAAAAAAACGTTAAAATCACAAAAATTAAGATTTTTAACATTGGATATTTCTGAGAAGGGCGGTTTTATTCGAGAGAAAAAAAATTTATTATTGACATTTTTTCGAATTCTCATGTAATTTCTGTTTGTAGTTAACCTCTATTCCGAGGGATTAAGAAAGAATCAAGGGGTTTTTTCATTGAGACCCCATCTCAATTAGTGAAGGCTCAATGGTGTAGGTTCGAATTTACAATATCTGCGATTGTGAATTATTTAATGATGAAGAGAGACAGAGGATGAGTTGATAGTTAATACTATCGATGACACCATCGAATTCCTGTATATATGTAAATACTTGGCTGAAGGCCGTCCTTGTAATAGATTTCGTTAACAATATAATTATCGATATAATTCAACAAGGAAAAACCTATAATTGAAATCCACTTTTTTACCTTCTATTCTTTCTGGGCAAAAACCCTCATGTTAGAAGCTGAAAAGAAAATTCACGTGAGAATTGGAGAAACTACAAGACAGAATTTTATTTTTCCCAAAAACCATCATTTTTGTGCAAAATATCCGGCGTTAACGATATATTTAACAGATTTTTGACGGAATAGATGGAAAAAATAGTATATTTCGTTACAAGTGCGGAAAAGGGCTTTTTGGCTCGTGGGAGGTTTATAGCACGAGCCGAAGGCGAGTAATATAATCCCACGAGCCAAAAAACACTTTTCCCACGAGTATCGAACGATATTTTTCATCACAATGTGTGGAAAAGGGATGTTTTAGGGGCCTAAAAAGTTACTTTTTCGCACAGCGTGATGAAAATATTTTTAAATAATCCTCACCCCCGGTGAGGATTATTTAAAAATATTGTCATATTCCGAGTTCAAATCCCGGCCTTAAAGTCTTGATCATCATCGCAGTATACCCTAACCGGGTCGAAGCGATGTAAAATAACGATAAAAAAAAAAATTAATAAATAATCCTCACCTTGAGTTTTCGCTGTAATCTAACATTTAATTTGTTTTTCGTCCTAATTTTTTATTAAATAAATGCAGAAAAATTATGAGTATTAATTTTTCCTGTTTTTAGCCTATTGGCGAGGATAATCTAGGGATTGGAGCCGGCCGAATTGTTGGAACAAAATTTGAAATTGATTAATAATTAACAATTTAGAATTTATTAAAAGTAATTAAATCAAATCATTCATAAAACCGGAAGTTTTCAAAATTAAATCCTGTTCATCAAATCGATCTTCTAATTTCATACATAATTTTTGATTCTATTTTGTTCTCACAAGGAAAATAATTGAGACTACGCAAATTTTCAAACAATTAAATTCTTCAATATTAATTTAAAACAATTATTCGACTTATCCATTTCTTCTCCAATTCTCTGTAACGTAATCCAATTCCGTCGTTTCGTATTTTATTCGCCAACCATTTTAAACACCAATTTAGTTTTTATCTCATTTTACGATTTCCAAAAATTTCATAAACTCGTTAATCCGTTATTAATTGAACCTTTCACTTTTACAAAATTCACATCCAAATTATTTAATCGTTCTATCTGTACCGCGGAACTGGAGAAGCGAAGAAAACTGCGAAGGAGCTGACGCGGAACTGTTCGAATTGAGGGAACTATCCCAACTAACGTTAGGGGTGTATCAATGCACTCTTAAAACCTCGCATTTTAATTGTCTTGATTGATACATGTATATGAATTTTGATGTGTTTGTCAAAACAGGGGCATGACACGATGTCGATGCATCGAGGTGCCGTGGTACGGACACCTGAGCCTCCTGATGATAACGCCCGTGGAGACAACTCCAGGCGTTACCAGCTAACGCTCACGTGATCGTTATATGAATTTTCTCATTGTCTTTTTATTCTCTTCATTAAATTCCTTCATATAATTTCACGTGCAATATCAATCGTATTTTAAATCGTTACCAAATGCGAAATTCCTTTTCCGATTTCCCGTTATTTAATTATTTATCTTAGTATTAAATTCTTTTATTTTTCGATTTTAAATATTTGATTTCCATCATTTACAGAAGAACTACGCGATACGTCTTCTGACGTAATAAAATATACCCACCTCCCGTGCAAATATCCTCTGTTAAATTTTTTCCCAAGGAAAAAAATTACATATAATATATTATCATCGACTGGGTATTTATAACGAAACACTCAAATCAGCACAGGAAAACTTTTCAGTTTTTAAGATGTGATGTGTTTTTTTTCATATGGGCTGTCCAGACATATCGTACATTCTAGCAAAGATTGATTGTTCCACAGTGGATAAAGTTCAAAGTGGTAAGAATAGAATAAAATAGGACAAAATCAGTAGCGAAGCGGTAAACCGGGTTAAGCCGATTTTTTCGAAAATGAGTTTTTCACTGAAATTGACTCTTGAGGATATGATGCATCTGCCGCATAAACGATTTTAGCCTCAAAATATGTTTAATGCCTTTTTTGGAATGAAATAAAACGGGTTAAGTCGCAATTTTGGGAAAAATCTATTTCAGAGGAGCTAAGTCAACATAACCCGAAAAAACGATTTAAAAAAAAGCTAAGTCGACTTAGCTCATTTTGTATGGGTTCAATGGGTATTCTTAATATTCTTCTTAAATTGGAGTAATTTGAATTAAAGAATTGGATTTCTACCTTTCCTAGAAATCCAATTCTTGGTAAGTTCTCAATCGATTTTTTTTTATTCAGTAGCGGTTCAAGTTGACATAACTCGGTTGGAGGGGAAAATCAAGAGAGCTAAGTCAACTTAACTCTTCGAGTGTGGAAAACAATCCGAGCTAACTCAATAAAAATTGTTAAAAAATGGTCTGCAGAAGTTGCAACTTATCATGCTAAAATATCTCTCGATATTGAACGAAATCCGTGCCTGAATTTGATTAAATTCACAAAAGGGCAGTCACTATTAATTTTTCGGCTCTCCTGTAAAATTCACATTTTTCGACTTGACCCGGTCTACCGCTTCGTTACTGAAATCACAACTAGATTCTGCACAGTTTAAACCGTGACTTTGTTTTGGTTCCAAATGGAACCCTTGTATTCGTCGGATTTTGATATTCTCTAATTTTGCCTGTAAATGATGTAGAATGTTATGAAACGTGAAGAAATTGTGTTTTTAGAAAATGTCTGTATGTTCGGGTCTGATAGTTCGGTTTTTGGGTTGCCACATTTTAGAAAATATAACGTTAATACGGAAAACTTCATTAATATGGATGTGAGATTTTGACCCATAGTAGATACTATGAAGCGCACGTTCGGTGTACAATTTTAGCTCGATCGATCCAATAGTTCCTGAGATATTCAACTTTTTGTATGAAAATATTTTGGTCAATATTTCGAAAACTATTCGACCGATTTCATTTTTTTTTCAAAATACTCATTTCGATGTCTTCCATCTACAGGGTGGGATTCTGGGACACCCTGTAGATCAATCAAAATATGTATACCCGTCCATACAAAGTTTTCTAGATATTTCCGATTTTGCATTTTTTGCCTAAATTCCTTGTACACGAGATACCTCAAAATAAAATCTAGATAAGACAGCAGAATTCAATAACCTATGATGATAATCGTTATCTATTTACGGTGAGGCTCCATTAGACAAAAACCTTTTGATAAAAAAAGATTCATGCAAAACACACTCCCTGTCACATGGATAGGGAGTGTGATATGCATCGAAACCATTTCAAATTCTCGAGAATTTTATATTTTTAAACCAGGGAGGTAAAATAAAGAAGTAGTACCCACATACAAAATTACACCAAGCTGGAGGGAAAAGATATTGTTTTCAAATCAGCAGGCAGATTTTTTTCGTAATATTGTTGATGTCTAATCTGAACGGAATTAGTGTTTCCATTTTTTTTTAAGAATTGGTATAAATCCATTTGGAAGCTTACTACCAATGGAATTGGTAGAAATGAAAAAAAGAAACAGAGTTATAACACGTAAAGAAACAGCCAGATAGCTTCTACCAAAAAGTCTCAAATCCCTGCTTGTTTTTTTTCAAATGAATTAATTTTGAAATGGGATATGCCACGTTGATGGTTTTCCAACATTACTTCCAAAAAAATCACTTTCTAATCCATATATTCATATTTTCAGCCATAATGGCCACAATTAAATTTCTTTACGCTTGACGAAATAAAATTTGAAATCTTCCAATCATCCAGTTCCCTCACGGGATATCCGCAGTTGAACATTATTTTGTGCAAGCTTCAGGGTTCTTCCCTACATGGGTTGTGGAGTGGCATACATGCTAAAGTGAGAAATAGACTTGTCCTCCAAGTGATTAATTAACACGTTTCAAGGATTCTAATCCTTTATACAATCACATGCATAAAAATGTCGCTGACTGTTAGTCTATAAAGATCGTAATGACGTCGTATCCCTGAACGAAATTATCGCAATATTGTTATTCCAGCTAAATGGTGACTCTGATAGTGACGCTAGAGAAGAAGATGATGAAAACCTGACCCGAGACCTCAGCCCAGAGTCCTCAACCTCTAGTTCAGTGAAACCAAAAAAAAAAAAGAAAAAGAAGAAGAAAGACAGATCAAAATCCGAAGATCCTCCAAGAGAAGATTCTCAGGATAAGATCGACGAAATCGATCGAAGTGTGCGTGAAGTTAACAAGCTCCTCGGAGAACCCGTCGCATGTTTCAGCAAATCTGATCATAAACCGGCAGAAAAGACAAAAGACAGTCTGATGACCATTGAACACAAGTATTTGAATCCTCACAACGAGTTAAAACGAATTTGTGGCAGTAAAATTCTGCCAGGTGACCAGAATAAATCTAGGGGACGAGGCAGAACGAGCCACCTTCGTAAAACTTGGCTGACAACTATCCCAGACTGGTTCCCAGTGACCAAAGCAGGCCTCTCAATGACTCTTGACCAAACAACGCAAAGAGACAATGGTCTCCAATACTTCGTTTTTGTTCACAGTCCAGCATACAGGCAGGTCCAGGAGAAATTTCTCTTAGCAGTGGAGAATCCAAATCCTGAAATTATCATTAGCATTATTAATGCAAATCCCTGTCACGTAGACTCCCTCCTACAATTCTCCGATGTCTGCAAATTCAATGAGGATCTGCAAATGGCTGCCGAACTGGTGGAAAGAGCAGTGCACTGCTTGGAATGTGCTTTTCACCCTCTTTTTAACCTGACAACTGGCAACTGTAGATTGAACTATAAAATGCAGACGAATCGAGCCCTCTTTCTCGCTTTGTTCAAGCATCTTACGTTCATTGGGGGTCGAGCTTGTTACAGAACTAGCCTAGAACTTGCTAAAGTACTCCTTTCATTGGACCCCGTTGGAGATCCAATGGCAGTAGTTCTCTCCATCGATCTTTATGCGTTGCGAGCAAGGGAGTATGAATGGTTCATAGACTTCTGTAACCTTTGGAATGTCGAGAGGAATCTTACTCAACTGCCTAATATTGCCTATAGCCTAGCCCTAGCTTATTTTCGTGTTGGTGATAAAGAAGCGGATAAACTACTGCAGGATGCTCTCTTCATGTTCCCAGGGGTCCTTCTCGAGTTGCTGGATAAATGTGGAGTGTCTACTGATACGAGAGTCTTGGGTCATGATTACTTTGGGAGTAGAGCGCAAAGTTCAACAAGTGCTGCTTTGGAAAAACTCCAGACTCTTTACGTCGTTCGTACTTTCCATTTGTGGAAGGAGACGGACATTCTACCTTGGTTAGAACGCAATGTCACTGCTGTTATGAATCGAATCGATGCTGGGGATGATTATGCCAAGTTCTGTGAGAGTAAAAGAAGCATGAGGTATCAGGGACAACCCCCAAGGAATATCTTGAGGCACATTGCCCTATCGGATCTGAAGGAAGTGCCTATTGTGCAGAATCTTAATCAGTCGCAGACTCATGTCTTCTCGCACGATCCTTATCCACCTCAGGACTCCATTGATATCTATACCAGGCCTGAGACCAGGAGGCAGGCTGGCTCGGCTGGAAGGGACAGTGTAAATACAAATTTGTTTACTCTATTTGTTTCTTCACTCTTCAGTGATCTTGAAAGACACGTTCCTAACCCTGGAGCTCACATAAATCAGGAGGGTGAAAGGGAGCATCCAGACGAGTTTGATTGACTTTCTTTTACTATTTATATTTATTAATTAGGAAATTTTGCGATGAAGGAGTAAAAGGCGAGAACTTTGGAAATTTTACTTGTGGACTGATGAATAGATTTTATTAAGGGAAAACCGCGGAGAAATTTAAGTCTTGGCTCGGCCTTAAGAGCCATTGAACAACTTTTGAAAAAGAAAAAAAAATTTCGCACCCGACCAGTTTTGCCCCGTACATGCACAAAAAACGTCATTTTTCACTTTTTTTAGCTTAAAAATACTCCTTCCTTGCACCACAGTTTTCATCCGATTTTAACTTTTTTTAAACTGTTCGTCATACTCCGACGAACAAACCCAAGTATCTGTTTTACTTTGTATGTATTACATCATGAAAAAATGTTTTTTTTAATTTTTGATTTTTTTCCTCTTATCAAATCATAAGATTCGTTGTTTTTTTGTTATTCCGCGTTGTAATCATGCGTAATCGAAATCTCATGACAGAAAAAATCCGGGCAGTTACAAAATTTGAGGATTTGCTAAGAGGAAAAAAATTGAAAACTAAAAAAATCATTTTCTTATGATCTAATACATATAAAGTAAAACGGATACTTGCGTTTCTTTGTTGGAGTATAACAAACATTTTGAACAAAAAAAGTTGAAATCGGCTGAAAACTGTGGTGCAAGGAGCATTTTTAAGCTAAAAAAGTGCAAAATGAGGTTTTTGGTGGATATACGGGGGTAAACTAATCGGGTCCAAAATTTTTCTTACCTTTTTTTCCTTTAAGGGGACACCGCGGTTCCCCTTAAAGAGGCTATGTTTCAAAGCATCGAATTCTCAACAAAAAAGGTATTCTGAGGGATATACAGAATAAATTGTGAATTATTGTTTGGAAGCTTCTCATTTTATCACTTTACCGCTCAATTTTTTAATCAATATTTTTGGATTCTTTTGTTTTGCTCGTATTATTTTTAGGGAAAAAAGAGCGATATCAATCATGTTGTGTAAATAATGAACATATAGAGATGTAAATGATTATTGTAGTTTTTGAGAATAAATTGAGTGAATTATGAGAAACTCCATTGAATTGATACGTGATTTTCAATAGACATTGTAGTTTGACGAGAGCGGTTTTTGCGCAGTTGAAAGTCTTAAATAGTATTTATTAAAGGCTTACAGCAAGTAGATAGTAGAGCCTTGGATTTTAAAGGGAATTTTTAGAGGGCTTTAATTCAGAATATTTCATTCTCCATCATAATACTCTGGTCTCCAATCGACAAATGATATACTGCTAATTTTCTCCAAAACAAGTAGGTTTAGAAGAAAATATCACAAAATGCTTTCTGTAAAATACTGAAAGGGAAATGACTATTTCTATTTTTCGGAAATGAATTCGGCAAATTATGAAAAACTTTATTGACATTACATACTATTTTCATTAAACGCAACTCAATACCAGTAAACCGAACGATTTCAATGACAAAAGATCAAAACACGACATAACTATTTAACAAAAACCCCAGGATGTCTATTTACAATCATATTACGTTGAATTCGAATACGGAAATTTTGAAAATTCATTTTACTTTATCAAGGTTTGTCGTCATTATTCACTCTTACTATTAATTAATGTTAACTTCTTTCCTCCCAATTGAATCAATGAGCACGAGAAATTTCCACTTGTGATGTGCGTTGAAAAAGGTTCTCACTTGCTTCAAATAGCATTAGTTGAATAATATTTCATACCGGACATAATACTCAGTTTTGATGAGCAATAGATTGCACAAAAATTCATATAAAATATACGGTAAAAAAAGTGGTAAAATTATGGAAATTGATTAGCTAAAATTTCACTTGTCTGCACGGTTTTTTTCTGCTTTGAATACTTTGAAAGTTTACAAGAGACTGCGAAAAGCTGGATTGTAACGACAGATACCAGGCCCGTACTCTTGATAATCCTTTTTCGTATGGCACACCTGATAGAATTCAGGCTCATTGGCTAACAGAGCACCACCGAACCAAACAGCACAGCGCTGCTTAGGATGAGAAATTACACGCACATCGATCGCAGTTGGCTGGAAATAAATGGATAGAAAAAATTAATATCGTGCTAATTATCTAGATGTAATGGAAATGAGTAGGGCAGAGAATCAAATAAAATGAAATTGATGAGCATAATAAGCAGTGGGTGTCAGTGGAAAATTTCAAGAAATTTTTACGGTAGATGAAAACGTATCCTGTTCTCTTCATAAAAAGTAGATTTTTTCACTTAGTTATGAAAATTAACTGGAAATGTCTTTCGATATTTTCTCCTAAAATCGATGATGCCGGTAATCATCAACGAAAGAGATATTTTATCCATTAAGGGAAGACTACTATGAGTTTTAAAAGTCGTGGGATATTGGAGTGAGTTTTCTCATGTCAATTGATTGTTTATTGTTCGTTTGCTCCGCAGACGCTTAAAATGTTTAAAAAAAAGTCCAGGGCCTCCAATTTTTGAGCTACAGAGGTTTTTTTGCAAAATTTTTGAAATAATATGTGCAGTAACAATTACGAATCGGTTTTTTGAAATTCGACTCCTACACAGCTAATTTCATTTTGTTTAATATAAAAATTTGCACCATTCATGTAAAATGGGCAGAAAAATTATCCTTAAAATATTAAAAATATATATTTTCGATTCTTTCAGAAATATTTTTCGAAAAAATAATTCGTAATTGTTATTGCACATATTTTTTCAAAAATTTTGAAAAACAAAATTCGAAGCCATGGACTATTTTTAATATTTTAAGCGTCTGCGGGGAAAACGAACAATAAATAATTATTTTTTTGCACTAATTATTCGTTTTTAAACATACATAATCGATCTTCAATCTATGAGAAATCTCATACCAACAGCCCGTGACTTTTAAAACACATAATAGTCTCCTCTTAAATCATTAGGTATTGGTTTGAAAAATCATTGCCTTAAATTTTTGAACAAATCTCCTACCGCAAGTTATTGACATTTTTCATAATCGAAGCACATTAATTTCCACATTGTGTTAAAGATCAATGTGTTTTGGTTTCGAAAAATATTAATAATTTTGAACAAAAAAGTTAAGGTTGACTCAACATTTTAAAGAACGCTGCTAAATATGTTTTTTGTTACGACGTATGAAAAAAATTGTTCGATTCAATCTCACGTAAATGGGTGAAAATTAAATGATTTAATTACCGTAATACGACCACCACTCAATTTTTCGCTCAATTTCAACCGTGTATCAACCATTTTTTTCATATCCCTCTGCAATCTCCTCCCAAAGTCTTTGAACATTGTTGATCCACCGGAGAGCACAATATTCTTGTATAATGGTCTCCTCACGTCGATGGGACAACTTTGAATGACATCGTCTACAATTTCTCCCAAGGGAGTCGTAAAATCGGGGTTCGCAAACTGAAAATATCATCAAATATTTCACAATAAAGCCAAATAAATCTGGTTGTTGATCATGCATTTATCTCGCAAGCGAGAGACGTTGGAGGAATGTCAGCAAATTTTTCTTGAACATAATCTCTCGAAAAGGGTTTCATGATTGCTAAATAATTCTGAAATCGTACAAATATGGTATCTTAAGGATATTCATCCAAACCGGCATGCACTAAGAAATGGTGATTTTTTTAACTGGTGGACAGAGGTATATGCTTCATGTTGATAAAAATTTCCAGAGATGATATAGACTGAATATATAGGGTTGACAGGTTTAAATATCTGCATTATTTTTCTAGATACCCCTGATTTTTCCATGGCCATCAAATCCAGTATATCTTTTTCCATTGCCCCCTATTTTTATTTTTATTTTTGAAGTTTCCAATAGATGAATCATTAATTTGGAAAAAGATGCTATTAGGGCCCGCGAATAAAAAAATTGTCCATTTTAATTCATCAATGCTACGACGCCAATTTTTTTGTAATCATCAGAAATGTTGGTTTTATAAATTTCCTCTTTAGATTTTCAAAAAATGGATAAAATCTTAGTAGTAAACGATTTAATTCCTCTTTTATAAGAACAATAGTAATCAGAAATTACCTCAGGATGAAAGAAAATTTCAGGACCTAAAAAGCGCTCATAACCCACATCAACATTGAACGATTGTTGTGTAATGTTATTGATTCCAGTGTACTGTTTTATCTTGGTTGGATCAGTATCGTACTTAGAAAACTCTTTGGCAATGTCAGGACATATGTAGCAATGCTTCTCCTTAATTGCTTTGGCAGTCTCGAGTGATTGTTCTGGAGGGATACCGACTTCTCGTTCCCTCAAGAGACTCTGTATGAAGTAAGTTATATCCCTTCCGGCAATTGGAATGTGCTTTATGCAGCTCCCTATAACGAAACCCTCGGCCACTGGAATAACGTGAGTAACACCATCCCCACTGTCCACTACCACACCAGTCAACACTCTGTTCTCCACGGTTTTAGCTGTCCACGAGGCAGCCAATGCCAAGACAGCTTGGACAGCGATATATAGTCCGGGAACATTGAAAGATTCAAACATTATTTCAGCAAGATATTCTCGATTCTCTGGTGTGTTCAGAGGAGGTTCTGTGAGGAGAAAGTGATGGTCTTCAGGCTCTGCCTTTAGATACTTGAAAATGCATTGTTGAAGAAATCTCTCCATCAAGTCCCAGTCTTCAACGAGTCCATGTCTAACAGGATACTGGAAAAGTAATTAAATTAGTGATGATAAATTCATCAAGAGAACTTTTTTATAAAAAAAAAATTAGAGTAAGGCTAGGATGGATTATCTTTCGAACGTTGTCTCGATTGTTTTTCTTCATAATCTAAAATAGGTCACAATTTCCACAGGATTTTACATCACATGGGTATCCCTAAAAATTATGATTGCACAATCAAAAAAAAGTAGAAGAAAAACTGAACATTTTTAACGAGTATTTTTAATAAAGATTAGGAAGTAATAAAGAGCAAGTCCGATAGAGAGCAAATTGTAAATGGATAATTTATCATGGTAACTAACAATCTGACAGGCATTGACTACTGAGACAAATGACGACTGAACAGCTATTAGATACTGTAAATTATTCATTTGCAATTTCCTCCCTATTGGGTTTGTCAATTTTTCCCAATATTAAACAAAAACGCTCTTTGAAAATGTTCATTTTATTTCAAAGGTTTTTTGACTGAACAATAATTTTTTTTTGAAGACTCCAGGGCTATGTAAAACTGAATGGCAATTGAAGAACATTTCAGATTATCAAAATAAAAAAAACAGCCCAGATCACGTTTGAAAAATAATACACGCGGAATTCAATTAAAAAAAAAAGGTTTCTAATATTTTCGTTTGAACCTATAAATTTCATCGCGATATTTTCCAGAGCAATTGACATGGAATATCCATTTATTAGTCATTTCAGTGTTATATGATACTAGTGATATATAAAATTGAAAAACAATTTTGTAGAATTCTTTTAGTTACTGAATCTATCTATCAGATCCCCAGTTCAGAGTTATCGCTGCCAATCACTTGGCTATATAAAGCTTTATCGATTACGGCATTATCTACAAAATGAGTTGCTCCAAAATTATGTCTCATAACGTTATTTCTTGGACGAAAGCTTCTTGACTGCAAGAAAAATTCCTACTTATGACTATCTATGGCCTCTTTCATTAACGGTATAAACTCACAATTAAACGATAATGACGAGCTGTACGAACTGAAATTAAGTGTCTGATAATTATTAGACTTTTATTTAAGTTTATTCCCTGGTGGAAAAAACTCCTTAAATCCTATTGGAAGAAAAAAGGGTAATTGGAAATAATGACGTTATTGCCGTTAACCCATTATTTCCGATTCAGGTTAGTAGCGCAATGCTGACACGTATGGAAAAATCCAATAGTAAAAGCTAGCGAATTAGTTAGAAAATTCTATTGGGATTCTGGAGAAAGAAATTCAAAATCTATTGACTTTTCCGTATGAAATATGCAATAGAATCAGCGCAAAAAACTAATAGAATTTTCCAATAGAATTCCAATAGAAATCCCATAGAAATCCGATAGATTTTCTCCAGAGTCCCAATAGAATTTTCTAGAGAATTCGCTAGGTTTTCCTTTTGGACTTTTCCATACGTGTCAGCATTGCGCTACTAACCTGAATCGGAAATAATGGGTCAACGGCAATAACGTCATTATTTCCAATTACCCTTTTTTCTTCCAATAGGATTTAAGGAGTTTTTTTCCACCAGGGTTGTTATTGCTTCATTTGGTGAAGTAAATAGCACAGGCCGATGAACCTTTCTAGCATTTAATTCCGTGAGATTAAGTAATGCAAATTGGGAAATGTTTATAATAACAAAAATATGAATAAATACGTATTTTCACTTGCTTTGATAGAATAACCAGGTGAATTAAATGCTTCATAGCCGATATAAAAGTCGAGATCCTCCACGCCCTTGGTCACACGCCTGGCTGAATTATCACCGACTTTCGCAGTTTCCTTGATGGCTATCGCCGATGGAATGGTCAACTGTGGATCACGATTTCCAGCGAATCCTAATTTTGTATACCTGAAAGATTTTCCATCATTCTCTCATACCATCGGGGAATGTATAATTTTATATAGAATTATTTGTAATAACTGAATAGTGACGAATCGGCATTTACTTATCGCGGCAGGGGTGTTAGTCACTTCCTAGCCTCACTTTTCAGGCCCACAACCGCATTCTCACGGGATTGATCAATTCAACGTAATAAAAATCAACTTACCCTGTTCCTACATCAATAACACACGCGGGAGGGTGTCCTAACATTTTGTTTAACGTTTGATTATCTCTATAAACTAAATTTTTTATCAGACCTTTTGACAACCACGATGACGAAACTCACACAAATAACGCACCTTTTTACACTGATATGGATGTATTACATACATACATATGTAGCGTATCTCGAATGTGGACATTCGATAGATCGAATCAGTGCAGCCGTTTTTCTTTTTCATCACGAATGTCGACCATATGAATTCTAGATTCGTTATTTGATCTTTGTGCAGATCAAAATCTCGTTTCATTTTCTCTTTTCTTCAATGAAAATATATCTCATATAAGTTTATATCCAATTATCCAGAAATTTTTTTCAATTTTTTTCTGTCCATTGTTTTATCCATTTTTTTCCACTTTCTTTTTCTTAATTTTTTTTCCATTTCATTTAATTGTTTTTTTTTTCTTAATTTCAGGAGATATGGGAAGGGAGAGTAAATAAAAGAAAAATATTTTTTTTTATAAAAAAAAAATAAAATAACGAGTTTATTTTCATCTATCACAGGGGGTAAATCACCAGGTAATTCATATTTTTACAATAATTTTGATCAGTCAGATAAAAGGTTCACACATCGCGTCACAAAAATTGTACCCTATACTCAATAAAATGCAATTTATAATGCCTCGACGAATGAATATTTTTTTCATAACTAAAAAAAATGTCACAAAAAAATGAATCACCTGACTCGTTTGGGGATGAAAATCTACCAGTTAATACACAGCAATGGAATAGAATAAATAAATGTATGAGGTATTGCTCAGTCTCGAAAAGTTGCATTCAGTTAATTTACGAAGTCCACAGAAAGTCCAGTTGTTTAATCCACTTCTTCAACAGTAGGTCCGGAGTAGTTGTTGCCGCCGCCCTGGCGGAACTGGCCTCCACAATCCTGAGGCATTTGTTGACCACCCACACCACCTTGATGAATCTTGGTCATGATGGGTGAGCACTGCTTCTGGATCTCATCCAGCTTGTGACTGTACTCCTCCTTCTCAGCTAGGGTGTTGTTATCCAACCACTGGATGGTGTCGTCACAGAGTCGCTTGGCCCTGTCTTTATCGTCCTGAGTCAGACGTGATCCGCTGTCCTCGACGGCCTGCTTCACAGAGAACACGTAGGACTCGAGTTGATTACGAGCCGCTACCTTATCCCGCTGTTGCTGATCTTGATCACGGTATCTCTCAGCCTCAGCCAGCATGCGATCGATCTCGTCTCGGGAAAGTCTGCCCTTGTCGTTGGTAATACGAACATCATTGCTGCGACCGCTGGCGGTGTCTTTGGCCGTGACGTGAAGGATACCGTTGGCGTCGAGATCGAAGGTGACATCGATCTTGGGTACACCTCTAGGCGCAGGGGCAATGCCACTGAGTTCGAATCGACCAAGCAAGTTGTTGTCCTTGGTCATAGCACGTTCACCCTCATAGACTTGTATGGTAACGCCAGGCTGATTATCAGCATAAGTGGTGAAGGTCTGAGATTGTTTGCAGGGAATACGAGCATTGCGCTCGATAATGTTGGTCATCATACCCCCTGCTGTCTCGATACCCAGTGACAAGGGAGCGACGTCCACCAGAAGTACATCCTGGAGGGTCGAGCTCTTATTTCCCTCGCCGGTTAGAATAGCTGCCTGCACTGCTGCACCATACGCCACTGCCTCGTCAGGGTTGATAGAAAGATTCAGCTGTTTACCACAGAAAAAGTTCTGCAGCATTGACTGGATCTTGGGGATCCTGGTGGAGCCTCCAACGAGGACGACGTCGTGGATCGATGACTTATCCATTTTTGCATCACCAAGTGCCTTCTCCACTGGTTGAAGTGTAGACCTGAAGAGATCCGCGCACAACTCCTCGAACCTGGCCCTCGAGATTTTGGTGTAAAAGTCGATGCCCTCGAAGAGTGCATCAATCTCAATGGTAGCCTCTGTACTGGATGACAATGTACGCTTGGCTCGTTCAGCTGCTGTTCGTAGTCTCCTCAGTGCTCTCGAGTTGATCTTGAGATTCTTCCTGTATTTTCTCTCGAACTCCTTGGAAAGATGGTCCACAAGCCGTGAATCGAAATCTTCGCCACCCAGGTGTGTATCACCGGCCGTTGATTTAACCTCGAAGAGTGAACCCTCGTCGATGGTTAGGATGGAGACATCGAAGGTACCACCACCGAGGTCAAATATGAGGACATTCTTCTCACCTTTCAAGTTCTTATCCAAACCGTAGGCAAGTGCCGCTGCTGTGGGTTCATTGATGATCCTGAGTACGTTGAGTCCGGCAATAGCACCAGCGTCCTTAGTGGCCTGGCGCTGTGAATCGTTGAAGTATGCCGGGACTGTGATGACAGCTTCACGTACCTTTTCCCCGAGAAATGCCTCAGCTGTCTCCTTCATCTTCGTCAAGACCATGGAACTGATCTCCTCGGGGTTGAACCTCTTCCTCTCGCCGCGGAACTCCACCTCAATCTTTGGCTTTCCTCCCTCGCTGACCACTTTGAACGGCCAGTGTTTGATGTCCGCCTGGATTTTGGGGTCGTCGAATTTGCGGCCAATTAACCTTTTGGCGTCGAAAACAGTGTTAGCTGGATTCATCGCCACTTGATTCTTGGCTGCATCGCCGATTAACCTCTCGGTGTCGGTGAAGGCAACGTATGATGGTGTTGTTCTGTTGCCCTGGTCGTTGGCGATGATTTCCACTTTTCCTTGTTGCCACACACCCACACAGGAGTATGTGGTTCCCAAATCAATACCGATTGCTGGCATTGTGTTGTTTGTTTTATAACTCCTCTCACTCGTATAACTCGTTTGACTTTTGTTCATGTACTGGTGCCGAACTGTTGAGAGCGGCCTCCTTATATACCCCCCACTCGGCTATCCCGACTGCGCACAGCCGGTCCGTACACTTCCATGCGATTCGAGAATATTCTAGGCGGCGTCAATGTTTTTCCATTTTATTTTTTTATTTATCTTTAAGAGAAAAGGCCAATTATCCTGAGGAGAGTAATGAGGAGGTCTTCCAAATTTTCTATTGAGGTTCCTGTGGAAAATCGCAACGTTTTGGGATATTTTCATTCAAGCTGTGGCTGAGTTCCAAGTACATTCTAGAACGAGGCAAGCGTTATATGTAGGTAGTACGACGGATCGATGAAATTTTGGGGACACAGATAACAATATACCTACGTCCAGAACGTTCTAGAAAAAAATTAATATACTAGAAAAATACTATGTTTCGGAATATTTTTGTGGAAATTTTTAAAGAGGTAATCGCTATAAAAATTCAGTATCTCCTCTTAATATTATATTTCGCTAAAATATTCTAGATGATTATTTGATGAGCGTTTGCGCGTACCATTAAGTGAGCTCATTTGTAATACAAGTTTGCCAGAACATTCTCCGGGCTATATATTTTTGGAAGGTGCGATGCTGCTATTTTTAACTGTTTATTTATTTACATTTGGGATTCAGCATTTCAATGGAAGATTCATTGAGCATTAGCTAATTAATAGACCTTGGAGAGAATCTCTGTGTTATATTCTGAAAATTCATTTAGAAAAAATTTTTTTTTTGTTCAAACTACACGCCAAATGACTATGCAAAATCTTCATTTAAAAATTACTACACTGAAATTATGGGAAATTCATTTTGTCGTATTTCACAGAACGGTCTAGGAAAATTTTAGCTTTCTTGATTGTTCGGAATGTTTCCGAAACATTCTTCAAATACCTGTACGAAATGTTCTAGAATCAGGGTTTCGTATTTGGGGGAGTACGAGAAAATTTTCAACTCAATCGTGAAATTTTTTCCGATTAGAATATAAAAATGACATAATTTATCAATTTTTTTTAATATATAAATTATATAAAAATTGTATGATTTTTATATTATTATATTCCGAAAAATCATCATATAGAATGTTCCAGAAAGTCGTCGAACGGTATACGCCAGTAAAATTCTGCTGGTTATTCGTTTTTCATTAAATTTATAAAACGTTCTAGAAAAGGATAGAACGATGTAGATACTTGTACCGAAACTTCTAGAAAATTCGACAATCATCTGCAAAGTTTGGCCAAGCCTTGATAATTCTTTTTAGAATACACCAAAAGATTCTGGAACTCTCTAGAAATTTTCAAAACCTTTTAAATGAGAATGTTCCGAGCATGTATCGTTTGAAAAGTGGATTTTAATATGAAAAAAAATTAATGCAGGCCACAATGCATACTATTTTTGACAATGAAAAGACTAGAAATGGATTCTAGAATTTTCGCAAATTTTTGCACATTTATCTTACTGTTTAGATTTAGAAGGGAGTTGAGAAGGGAGTTAGTTGGCCACTGAGAGATCAATGGAGGGTATAATAAGAATGAATCAATTTCATTTTAATAGTTATTCATTGGATAGCTACTAAATTCCTTATTACTGAAAAAATACCATAAATACGGAAAAATATCATAAACTTCCCACCCATCCAATAGTAACGACATTTCCAGAATAATCTCATGATTACTCTACATGATTTGAGAGGTACGTTTCTCCGGAAATTCATGGGAGGTTTTAGGAAGTTCAAGAAAGGTCCAGAACGGAATCCTCTGGAAAATTCGTGTATCATCTTGAAAACTCTTTAATTTTCCAATGCAGAATGTTCTAGAAGACTCTGGAATGTTGTGGAAATTTTGAGGAATTTATCGATTATTCCAGAAACTAACGCTTCGGAAAATAATGGAAGGCCCTAGAAAGTTGTAAAAGACCGACACAGCAGTTTTCTGTGAGGGAATTTTTACATTAATTTTCCATAATTTTTCGGTAAAATTAGGTTAAAATTACCTTACGAATCGAAATTTTTACGCATGGTCTAATTTTTTTCATTGAAGTTGACATTTAGACGATATAAATGACAGAAAATTCGAGAATATTCTGGAATAGTGTCAAAGCACCTAGAGAATACCATTAATTCTGAAACTATCTCTGCACGACTGATGAAAGGGTCTCGCAGGTATAGATTCTCAAATCAATGGAGAAATTTTTATAAATTGTTATAAATTTTTAGGGGGTTTCAGAATGGTTTGGGATATGCTAGAAAGAATGGTAAAAGATTAGAAAAATGGAGAACTTTCTAGACGATTGCCAAATTCACCAGAAATTCAAATTGTGTACAGCTCTGGGATCTCTACAATTTTCTAGAAAATTGTAGAAAGATTGTAGACGAGTCATTAAACACAATAGTATGATAAATATTTTGCTCAGTTATCGATCGGTGTTGTCCGGGGAATTTTTTTCCCCTACACCTCATTTTTTTTTCTAAAATTTTTCTGGAAAAACTTGTCAACTTCCTCTAGAATCCGAAATTGTTCGTAACATTTCTCCAAAACCCGAGCATTTTGTCAATTTTTTTTTTAGAAAACCGACGAATACTGAAATTAATATTAATCGGAGAATTTTCGAGATTTATCCCGAAGGTTGTGGAATTTTCCAGCTTTCTATGCTGCATTGTTTCACCTTTTTATTATTATTCTCAAGGAAATCCTGAAAATTTCCAGAAACTTCTGGAACTTTGGTGCATCATGTCTGTGAGTGCATTCCTGAGTATGCAACTTAGTGCAATAATGTACAACGGCTGATCCTAAACTACGTAATTAGCAATGAAAAGCCTATATTGAAATTCATATTCAACCGTTTTTGTGTAAATAACAAATAACAAATAGAGGGCAAATAAGCGTGTCGTTTAGAAAAATTGAGTGAGCAGGAAAAATGGAAAAAACACATTTTATTCGCCTTGACAAGGTGAACAGCTTTTGCAGGAAGGACTTTTTTGTTACCCTTGTGAATTATTCATGAGAACGATTCAAGTGAACAATTGAATTGTTTATAGCAATATCTAGGCCAATTGGCAGGGAAAATAACCAATACTATATTCGTATTCCTCGCCCCCAAATTGGTCTAAGCCAGCGTAGGGGAGGGTGGGGCAATATGGACATCTACGGTAAAATGGACACTCAAAAAATTTGCAAAAAAAAATCCTTTTTTCAAAATTCAATTTTTGAAAATTGTTTCATTGGGCAATATGGCCATCTCATGCATCCGTATAGGACGGACTAAAATGGATGTTTAAAAAATGTTCAATAATCGAATTTTTAAAAATTAATTCTAGGCAAAGTCCACAACCGAAAAATTATTCAAGAGTGGGGTAAAATGGACACTCGAAAAAGTTGGTCCTATTCAACTTTTAACTACCCAAAACTTTTCAATTACTAAGTTAATCATTAATCAAATATGCAAATACCGAAATGTCTAATCAAATAATTCTTTTATGAAATTTAGAATTATAGACTCAATAGTTAATAGAAAATTTAAGTTATGAATTATTTAATTATTTTCAAATTTCAATTAAGATAAAAAACCATAGTAATAGAAATGTGCAAATTCTTATAATGTTACAAAATTTTACAAATGTAATGATTGTCGCCCGATCGCTGATTGGCCCATGCTCGCCTACATACGTAATTTTTTTATGAACCCCATCTTCGGGATAAAATGCTCTCTATTGTTCATGATAGAACCGTATCTGGCCCATAAAGAATAGAGACGTCTTTATTCTTCATGATCTAGCCTATGGAGCATTGTCCGTTGGAGAGTTCGAGAATCTTCCGAATCCATCCAATGCAGCTGCCCAGAAAGTTCTCGGTTCGGTCTTTTCTGATGTGTTTTATCGATGGAGTGGCAGCGGTAACGCTATCCGCCATCGACTGCGACTCTCCGATCAGCTGTTTGTAACCCATGAAAGCATTGGCGACGTGGAAGGGAAGGTAGGAATTTTTTCGAAACCGTAAGCTATTATGATATGCAGTTAGAGACGATCGAACACTAGTTGCTATCCGGTAGTGTTCCGTGTTACATTTTCATGTGCTCAATTAAAGATTTTGATAATGAGTATTGTTACGTGCATTGCGCCTGTTAATATCGCTGTCATCAAATACTGTATGTACACTTTTGTTAATTTTTATTGTATATCCATTGCCTAAATTTTGTGTATGAGGATTCGAGAGACTCATTTGGGGTCTCGATTTTGTTTTATTAATAATCCTTCATTATTCTTTTTGCTTTTGTGACTCAATTGTCCTGGAATTTGATGAATTCTAAAACGAGATGCGCGCGCACGTCGCAATTGCTATGAGAGTGATGAGATCTGTTACAATATTATGCCAAGGTCATGTTGCAAATATTTTTGGAGCACAGAGATTTTCATAAATTCATAATGGAACCAATTTTATAGGAAATTTCGGTCAACAAATTCCCTGAATCCTTTCACAGTGAGGTATTTTCAAAATAAAAAATTTATTCATAAAGAGAGAGCATTGTTAGAAATTTTTTGAAATTTCATGGAAGATATTATAGTAAATCTCATGTGAGTGACATTGAATCAAATTTAGGGGAAAAATGGTTATGAAATTTCGAGTTTTAAGTAGAATCCACAGAAATTCATGTGTTTTCAGTGGGAGTGAGATGGAAATTTCACAACTTGATTAAATTTTCAGTGGAACATGAAAATTCTGAAACCAATTACATGAATTTTCAATTTTTCTCTCAATTTCCCTGATTTTTCTGAATTTTCACAGAATAATTGAACTGAAAAATCAAGTATTTTACTGATATCCAGATGATTTGAACGGAAAATAATTTTCGGACATTTCAGTGGAACTTGAACACAATAAAAATTTCCAGAATTTGGCACAGAAAATTCAGATGAACATTTTTAACAGTGAGGAGGAATGAATTCACGTGTAGATTATTTTGTAATTATGTTTGGAGTGAAGGAGTTTACTAGAATTCATTGGGAGACGTTTTTGTAGTCAACATTTTCTGTAAAATAAGTTTTGGTAAATGTCTTCGCTCCGGAGATATTCGTGAAAGAGTAGCCGCGGGAATTAAAAAGTTATCTTGTTTCACCATCCTCCGACTAATTTACATTGGTACAAAGGCTGTAGGATATTCTGGAGTCTGTGCACTTTTTACTTTTAAAATTTTTTTCCTCATCCATATTTTATTTAGAAAAATTTGATTTAATTTGCAGGGGGAAAACGAGATGAGCAACTTATTCTTCCTGTCAATGATTCCATTAGTGCGTCATTGGATACTAATCAGGTCAGGATGAATTGATTTTACAAACAATACTTTCGGACTGGAGACGTTTAAAAGAATTTATCATGAAACCTCTCTTAGGCTGACTTTCATTTTTTTAAATGGAATGTCAACTGGACTTGGCCTATCTTATTTTAGACTTGACCTCACTTATCTTGTTCACATGGCTCTATGACATAGATTTACAGCCGTTGTGTTATCTATCAAATTTATCGCATCGAGTATCGCCCCAATTTTTGCTGAATTACATCACTATAAAGACATCTTTGTTTTTTTCCTCTCTCCACTACGCTTAGAACAATGAAAATATGTTCTCAAATAAGTCTTGTTTAAATTTAAAAAATTGCGAGTTGAATTTATCAAGAATTAAAAATCTCATGTTAAAAATTCAAAGTGTCCAAGATGAAAAATTTTGTCGCAAAAATCGATTTAGTTGTTTAAAAAAAATATTATTTTCTGTGCAGACAAGAAATCTCATTCTTAGCACGTCCTGTTTGTTATTCTATACATACTGCCATACACAGAGAAAAATACATGACAGTTCCATGTGAGTCCCTCCAAAATTCAGTGCTACTAGTTTTGGGACCAAACAGGGGTCACCAAAAAAATCGAATGGTCCACCCAAAAATTCTGATGTGGCATCCTAATTTTTAAAGTGCTCCTACGGAAACGATGTACTTTGTGACCACGGTCTCATGGGTTGGAGAATAGCATACTAATTATTCCGAGATTTTTTTAGATTTGTTTACGAAATTATATGAGCTATTTCGCCAAATTTCGTAGGAAATCTGGCCTCAAAATGTTCGAGAATTTTGTTTTTTTTTTATTCTTTTCAATATTTATGTATAGAAAAGAGGATTTCTCGCTTCGCAGAGATCGCGCGGCTTAATTAAAGGCATTCCGCGTGATTAAGCGTTTTTTGGACTCGAAATTCTGCGCTCCTATTTAACGTGTTAAAAAGTACTGAAAAAAATTCAAAACATTGGTTTTGATCGAAACTTTTCTGAATTAAAAAAAAATGGCGATCATTTTGTTTCCTCACTTCAATTTCATGGTGAAAATCGAAAAATAAACCTTGAAACGTTGATTTGAGCCGGTTCTAGACTTCTAAATCTGATATTTTTTCGAAAAATTCCGAAATCTGATCGAAATGATCTTTGAAAAATGTGCGCTCGTGTGCTGTACAGTCGGAAAGAAAATGAAAAACAAGAAGTTAATACTACAAAAATCGATTTTACATGATTTGATCTTGTCATTATATTTTTCATTCATTACATAGTCATTTTTATTGATGAAATGTACTTCCTTACTTCTTATTAACATCATTATATGCGAAAACCGTGAGAAATCCATTTTCGAAAGATTCATTTTTTGTTTTTAATTTCTCTTTCGGTTCTACGGCTTATGAGCGCACATTTTTTAAAAATAATTTCGCTCGGAAATTTTCTGAATTTTCCGAAAAAAATATCTGATATAGGGAAGAAAGAGGGGAACAGACTGAAATCAACGTTTGAAGTTTTATTTTTCGATTTTCAGCATAAAGTTGAAGCGGGGGAATAAAATAATCAGCATTTTTGAGAAATTCAGAAAATTTCCCATCAAAAATCATGTTTTTGATTTTTGTTTTCAAACTTTTTTCAACATGTTAAATAAAAGCGCAGAATTTCGAGTCTAAAACGCTTAATCACGCGGAGCGCTTCTGAGTCGTGGGATTTCTGCTAGCCGATAAATCTACTTTTCTATACATATGTATCAAGAACAACCCAAAAAAATTGTCGAAAATTTTGAGGCCCGATCTCGTACGGTATTTGGCAGAACGGGCCATATAGAAATTTGTAAAATATTGTTTTACTCATCTACCCTCATCACTCAATTGTTGTAATATATTTCAGTTATGTGCAAAGACCACCATAATGGCAAGTCCGGACTTCGATGTAGATCGAATTTGGCTGAATGGAAGGGAAGAATCGATCAATAATCCCCGACTGCAGAATTGTTTACGAGAAGGTATGACTAATATAAAAACGTTGAAATGAAATAATTTGTTTTTTAATTCCGGCTCTAAATGGAATATATCATTTTTCTAGTTAGAAAACGTGCTCAACTATCGCCTGAAATGGAGAGCTGGAAGCTCCACATATGTTCCAAGAATAATTTTCCAACAGCAGCAGGTCTGGCATCGAGTGCAGCTGGTTATGCATGCCTGAGTGCTACACTCGCAAAATTGTACAAAGTAGAAGGAGACATAAGTACAATTGCTCGTTCTGGATCTGGTTCGGCATGCAGAAGTGTGTACGGTGGATTTGTACGTTGGTATGCAGGCACTGACCCCAACGGAAGTGATAGTATCGCTAAGCAAATTGCCCCTCCGTCTCATTGGCCGGAAATGAGGATTTTGATTTTAGTCGTACGTAAAAATTCAATATTTTCCTGTCTCTGAAGGTAAAATATACCATCTAACAATTTACATAAAAAACTTGTGTAAGAGTGAATTCACAAGTAGAATCAAGCCGAGGACCGAGGCGACGACAAAATACCTGTGACCATCACTTTATGCGTTAAGGGGAGACTACTATGAGTTTTAAAAGGTGCAGGCGCTTGGAGTGAAATTTCTCATGCATTGAAGATCGATTATATGTATCGAAAAAACAAATAATTAGTGCAAAAAAATTAACTATTGATTGAACGTTTGCCCCGCACACGCTTAAAATGTTAAAAAGTAGTCCAGGGGGGCTATTCTCAAGAAAAAGCCGCTTTTTCCACCGCTTTTTCGAAGCTGCGATTTTCTGCAGTGAGGGGGCGACACGATAGTAAGTGACACAAAGTAATGACTTTGCGAACGCATTATGCGCATTTGCGCCTAAATGCCCCTCCATCTGCAATTTTTCATTTTGGAGCAGCTATAATTTTTATTGGAGTAAAGTGTTAATAATTCACTTCAATACGTGTTACAAATGAGATAAATACTTGACCGATCAATTAGTGAATAGAATTGACTACCTATCGACCACTGAGAGTAGATATTGATGCTGGTAAATATCTCAGCTCCGATTTTTGATGTCTGAGCGAAAGTGGAATTTCACACAGCCATTGTATAAAATCCTTGCTAACCCTGTTATTATTTTCATTAATAAAAGCCAACAAATAAATCCTATGAACCAATTGA